TAACACACACCAGACAGCCCAAACCAGGATGATCAACTTCATCTCAAAGGGGAGGGTCGAGTTTGGGTCGATCAAGTCGCATCACCGATGCACAGGTACACCTGCTGTTCAGAAATGAAAGGACCTTTGATACTTGATCCGTTCGATCCGAACGTGGATGGCTATGAAAAAGAAAAAGCAGAACTCAATTGACCGAGTGCCGCAGCAGATACGGTTCGTTCTTGCGTCAAATTACAGGGGCCGTGCCAACATCGAGATCTTCTTGCGGGCCCTTCACCCTGACATGCATTTGAGGATGATGGACACCCAGAGGCCGAGTGAATTTGTCATGGCTTCAAGCATCTCCAGGGATGGATGGTTGACGGATGTCATAACATTGTGAGCGTGCCATGTTTGGTAATGCCAAAAGGCAACCCAGTGCGACGGGTTTCACTTTGAGCGTAGTTGAGTAAACCCAAATGACAGGAAGAATACGACATCCGAAACAAGGCCACAGAGTTGACCTGATTCTTCCAAGAATGCCTTCGGCATACTTTGCAGAGAAAGAATATGCCGACGCAGTTCTGCAAAGAAATAAGACCCACTATAGGAATGGGGTCACCAGGGATATTGCGCATGGGGCCTTCAATAATTCTCAGAATGAGCGGTGTACCTACTTGGATCACCAGTTTGTACCGTAAGGTTTGGTATCTGAATCGATGTTTTTGCTCAATAATCGGTGGTCGTCCATGCAAGTTCGCGGGAGAAAGTAAAAGCTGCATCGACACGCTAAACGATAGAAAGTAGCAGGGTCTCCTGGCATGATTGGCGGGAGAACGGAGGCTGCTAGGCTTGTTAGGCATCCTGGGGAAGAGAAGCTAAAGAGCCTACTCGGTACTGGGTAGAGAGCTTGCTCTTCTCAGGAAGGGCAGGCGCCACAGTTGGACTTGTCTAGCTCCATGGTAGTTAGTCTCTCGACACCGAGATCCAAACCACAGGGTAGGCCGAATTTGCGATGTTAAAACCGTTAGGGAGCAACCTTAGCCTATCTCTCTGGATGTTTCCAGGAATCCCAACCAGCCATCATCAGAGCTTTCTTTATTCGGCACTGTAAAGGACCAGGACGTCACGAGACACGGGTGAAGTATGTCAGGGTCCAGAGTAGTAGTCGCTTGCATTTTTCTTCTCTGACAAGATGATCTCGTTCTGTGGTGGAAAATGATGAAGGAGTTCTGCATAAAGGGTGGTGTGAAGGCTCATGGCTGCGGCAAGATTAACCTCGCAGGGCCGCGCTGAGATGGGCACCCACATTCTGATTCGGTGCCGCGGATGAGGACGAGGATGACATGGACTTTTTGGGGGTGGGAGCGAACCGGGTCCGGCATTGACCAATGAACCGGCAAGGGCAGGCGCTGGAGGAGGATTGGAGGACTTGGAGGATGGGTGTCAGGGGAGGTTATGATTGGTATGGATAGACCGCCTTGGGGCAAAAGAACGAGATGTTATTCCAAAAGGTGCAGGCTGCGAACAATGTGGCACTTTGGAGAAGCGAGGCAGGAAAATGGGTAACAGCGAGAAGGGGATGGCTTGATGGGGACTGATGGGTAATTGATGCCAAGGCCGTCCTAGTCCAAAAGAGGCGTAGCTCACATGTAACCTATGCGTTGGTGGCTCGGTGGACATGGTCAAGCATGGTGTGCTGCACCCCTCTGGCACTGGTGGCATTATGCGGACTGTTACTCACACGTCAACCCTTCCCATCTGGAGAAATACTCCGGTGACAAGGCAATGACTCTTGTGAGACCTGGGAATGACAAGTGGCGGATTGGAGATTACAAACACAGAAGGGGGGAAAGAAACGGGCGACGTAACCCATTCCCGAACAACCTTGACGAGCAGTTCCGGGGCGGAATTAATGACTGGATGTCCTGGGTACTGGTACTGGGGGTTACCTCGTACGAGCATCGGAAATATTACCAGCGCCAGCTACTGCGAGTAATTCTAGACCTTGTTTGGAGGGTGATTCTTGGGCCCTAGGCGTCAGGCAACGCCTAGTAACCCTAGCAGAGTACCCAGTACCTCACGCCTACCGTACTACCAACACGTCGAGTGCCTACTTGGTAGGTAGGTATTGTTAGGTGTGCCCTGGTGTGCCCTGGTGTGCCCTGGTGTGCCCCGTGCCAGATTCCTGTGCTCCGCTCCCAAACTCCTGGCTCCTTGGCTCTCCTTCCTTTTCCTCCTTCTAGCCTCTAAATCAGACCGAGGTCGGGTTGTCGGCTGCGGCTTTCTGCCTACTGCGACTGCGACTGCGACTGCGACTGCGCCCGCGACTGCTACTGCTGCAAATCACCACCGCTCCCACAGCTCCCGCAGCTCCCACACTGCCGTCCTTCCGCGAATCATAGTGCCCCATTAATCTAGCTAAACCGGCTCCAAAACTGCAACGTACGCACGAGGCAATCTCGTCAGTCAATTAACCTTTCGAGTCGCAGGGCCTCTCGCCGACCTCATTGCTCTCCACCTAACCGCATCATCAAGCCATCAACCCCCATCCTTCAACCCTTTCATGACTGCCAGCATATCCAGAATAGCCTATCCCGTCCCGTCTTTCTCCGTACTGCCACTCCACCAGAAACCTTGTTGCGCAGTTACTTGTCTGGCCACCGCAGGAAGCGTCCCCGGTCGGCGACCAGCCATCAACCAGGTCAATCTGCAGGCTGCATTTCTGCCAACCCCCCTTCTGCCCCCTCCCCCCCCCCCAATCCAACCCTAGCAGCCCAATCGTCGTCCCATGCCACGCCTGGCCTGTCCTGCATAATTAGGTATTCACCATCAGCGTGCAGTGACCAGTGATCACTGGCCACTGAACCATAGCTACCTAGATCACAGCGTCACCAGCGTGACCGCACTCTTCATTCCCCCCCCCCCCGGTCAAGGTTGGGACTTTCCATGCGTGCCCATCACTGAGCGGAATTCCTACGGTACTCGGTCGCCTCGCCTCCCACGACCTCGCTCTGCGGCCCTTGCCTCTCCTTGTCCCACCAATAGAAAGCTTACTCGAATGTCCTAAGTACTTGCACACGGACGCACGCCCGTTGCCTTTTTCACTCCAAGCTCGACCCAAACCCCAGTCCCAAGCGCAACCAGAAGCCACTCAGCAACCAATTCTCAAGACCCCCAACCTTCGAGGCCAACATCTGACTTTTCTTACCTCACCCCTTCCAGAAGGCCGATCTCTCAATCAACTCTTGCCCAGCGCCGCTACCTGTCCTGCTTTTCCGTAGCTTCTCCGTGCTCATGTCACGCGTTGGTTAGACACGCAGAAGAAAAAGAGCAGGGAAGAAAACCACAGAGTCATCCCGCGCATCCTGAGGGAGCCATTATTGGACGCTTCGAGCACGAGGTGGACCCTCCTCAAAACACCAAGTCAACTCCACTGTTCCCCTGCTTCAAGAGCTAGTTGCCGCAATTCGCGCTCTCACTACTCGACACTAGTGGGCGCTCAAAGCTTCGCACTATTACCAAAATCTCCCTCTAAACTCCACTCTAACTCGACCTCCAAAACTTTGTTTCCTTCTCGGCCTCGCCATCTGCCGGTGGGTTAAACCTGCCACTGCGCTGGGTGCAGCCTGCTCGCTATCGAACCGGGGTCAGCATCGCCTCCCCTGCGCGAGAACGCTCGTAAACACAAGAGACCACCGAGTCAAGGAATAAAACCCCCCCCGTCCTGCAGACGCCTCTATCCATTATCAAACGTACTGCTATTGGCAGGAAAAGATCCTGCTCAAACCCCTGCCACCTTGGGCCACCTGGTTCCACTCCAGGAAGGCGGTCGCCCACCTGCATCTCTGATCATACTCCCTCCACGGACACAAGCTCCCAGTTGAGGCGGTATTCCGGCGCAAGACGTCAAGGAAAAAGAAAACCCAAAAAAAGGAGGGACAGTTCCCTGTCACGTCACCTGGGGAGAACAGCCACTGTGGTTGGAGAAGGGAAAGAGAGCAGACAGCCCATTCTCAAAGGCAAAAAAAAAGCCACCCACTCAACTGCTACATAGAACAGGGGAGGATCCTGGGGCCAAAGGCAAAAACCTATCAGACTCCCCCGACTCTTTCCAAAAGTTTGGCCCGCTGCACTTTGATCGCAATTCTTTATTAGTCCTCGGGGTCCCGCACCATCTCGAGGGAGTAACGACTACTCTTCATTCAGTTCAAGCCTGCAGCTAGCGCTGTGAGGATCGTGCTAAAGCCCTCTTTTCCGACCCATCTTCGCCCCTCGGTTCGACGATACGGTGCGGTGCCCCTGGTCAAGATCAACCCCGTCCCTTTTGTTGCTCGAGCGCTGCCAGCACGATCTGGTGCCCGTCTCTCGTGCAAAAAAGGCGCTTGTTGCTCCCGACCCAACCCCATCTCAGAGTCTTGTTACAACTTGCTCCCCACCGCGGCCTGTTGAGGTTTGGCTGCTTCCTCGGGCATCCTCGTCTAGAAAGCCTTCAAAATAAAGAATACGCCGGTCTGTGGCCTAAGGATTGCTTCAATCCGTATCGTCGCCTGTCCGCCCAACGTGTGGACTGGACCTTTACTTTTGAGCGACCAACTGTCATCCACAACCTTTCTCTCGGGTCACTCACTACACGCCAGTGCCACTCGAGTTCCTACCATACCACTATCCTTACCTATCAACCGCGCTTCTTCACGTGGGAGGCAGGTACACGAAAAAACACCTTTGATGGACAGAGGTGGATCAGAGTACGCGCAGTCAGGTTAGCAGCAACGAGACCATCATCCATTTTTCCCGCGAGCAAGCTCTGAGAGAACCAAAAATTTGTGTCAATAGATCAGTCGTCTGTCGCGACCTACGCCACGCAAGACCCGCGCTCTGCAACCATCTCGAGCAACAACACACCGCAGTCGGACTACGGCCTGACTCCGTCGTCGGCGCGTTCGTCGGGGTTCCCTCCAGAGCATCTGCGCTACAGCCAATACCCTCAAGCGCCTCACCATCCAGGTGCTGTTGGAACAATGGCACAACCAACAAGTCCGTCAAAGTCCCTGCCAGAAGGAGCACCCAATGGCAATCCAGCTGCAAGCTCCCACCATGTGAGATCTAACTCGGATGTGCCTATAGATCCCTCGATTTCGCAAGCCAGCCCGACCTACCCTCCTTATTCGCCTTACCCGCAAGGACAGGACATGCAGCACGCGTATCAGCCCCAACACCCTCCTTACATGCCGCAGCGACCACCGCACGAGCAATGGGGTGGTTATCCACCACAACATGGCATGCCCGCGCCCTATCCTCACCCTGGTCCAGGTGTCCAAGGCCCGCCGCAGACTTCGGCTGCGTCGCGTTCTGGTCAGGTATGTCGCGGATCGCCTTATTTTTTCCAAAAGGAGACAACAGCTGGTTTTAACAAATTCGTCTGTGCAGGTGTACTCTTTTGTGCCTATCCCGGGTGCGCAGCAGCATAAGCGACCGCGTCGTAGGTATGAAGAAATCGAGCGAATGTATAAGTGCGGGTGGAATGGATGCGAAAAAGCGTATGGAACATTGAATCATTTGAATGCGCACGTGACGATGCAGTCACATGGAACCAAGAGAACTCCGGAAGGTGAGCACCAAGTTTAAGGCACCTTTTTTTTTGGCCCTTTTTTCAGGCCCTTGCGACTGGCCATTGAGCTTGACTCACATTTTCTTGTCTTTTAGAATTCAAGGAGATCCGCAAGGAGTGGAAGGCTCGCAAGAAGGAAGAAGAGAACGCGCGCAAGCAAGAAGAAGAACGCCAGAGAGCCGCTGCGCAAGCTACTCAAGTGGACGGTGCACCGGGAGAAGCACATCCAGTCCCGGGACAAGGCTATCAGCAAAACGGAGCTCGGCCATCACTCCCCCCTATTGGCTACCAATCTGCAGATGGTCATGCTCAAGGACAATACGGGCAGCCACAAGGCGGTATGGTCTACCCGCAAGGCAGCACCCAGATGAACAGTTATCCCAACTATCCGAACTCGCCTTATGCGCAGCAGGGCCAGGTCTACCAGCAACGTCAATACTAGAACACACCGAGGACCAAGCATCTTGGCTCCTGACTTATGGTGCGTCCCTAGGTCCAAGCGGGTCACACAGCTTGCGTTGGTGGCGAGGCAAGAATTTTTATGTCATGAGCCTCATGCTTTCGCGGATTGATGCGGCACCTCATTTTTACCCGAGATACCCCTAGGTGGGAGCGGAGGAGATAATGGAAGAGCAAACGCGGACTAAGTCGAAAAGTATCGTGATGAGGAGCATGTTGGGAGGAGTTTGTCACATTGCTGGCGGGATCCGATACTCATGAGTTTCCTTTTCTTGGTTCCCGTTTTCCTATTCGTTTCCCCCCCCTTTTTTTTTCGTTTGACAGGTTTATCACCATTTGCACAGCAACACGCGTCTCTTTTGAGGGTGATGAACGTTATGACCGATCGGCCGAGTGCATGCATTTTTGAGGAAGAGAACCAGTGCATTTATGAGAGCGGGAGATTTGTTCCTGTCTGCGCAGGCAACCCCAACATTGAAGGGCTTTTGGAAGGAGAGAGACGAAAAGGGATACAGGCAACAGCATGGATTGTCAATGCGTGCGGCTTCAACAAGGGTAGAGCGATGGGGGTCTCTCCAATTGCTGTTGGGCTGGGAAGTCTGGTCCCCTGAGTCCCCGTTATTGTACATTTATGGTACCCAGGGCCAGACAGGATATTACTTGCGCTCCGGTCAGTTGGTGCTGTGGACCGGAACTCGTTTACTAGAACAAGGAGTTGGTCTTGCTGTTCACGTTCAGACAGAAGGCAGATCAGAGAACAATTTGAGCATCAAGTGATTATGGCGAATAGAAAGGGATTTGCTTTTGACAAGACTTCTTTAGGCTCTGTAAAATTTGTTCAACCTTCTTTTTCGCAAAGCGCTCACACGAGAAAGCTCGATTCCTTGTGCTTGAGGATGCCAGCAGAAATCGCCAGCACATGACTCTCAAAGACAAAGACAAGGCTCAGAGGGAGGTGGAAGAGTCGTGGGAATTAGGTTGGCCAGGGATCTCAATGGGCGGTGTTGGCGCGAATTTAGGCTGTCCTACCAGACGGTCGACTTTGCAAAGCGCGTGGCAAACAAAGCACATGGCAAGGTCTGGATAAAAACCTGGGGAATGGCCTTGGTCGATTTTAGCATGCAGTCTCATGGTTACACAACGTCGTGCGGACCAACTACTGCGAGGGAACTAAGTTGGCGTCCGAAATGGGCTCGCCGTTGAAGTCTAGGCTGAGGCCGACGACATGCACGAAATTCACTGGTGTGCGAGTTGCGCAACCACTGAAAGGGCCGAAAGGCCAGCGGTTCCAAGCAGCGGCGCAGCCGCCAACGCCCGCGACGGCGCCTGAACTAGGGGCCTGAAAAGCTTTGGTGTCGGGGACCCAGGGGGGAGTGAGATGGGGGGCCACGAGGGGGCCCAGGGGGTTGAGGGTACTTGCTTCAGGCCTGTAAGAGCCTAACGTTGTTAACTGGAGCAGCTAGCTAAGTAGTGAGTAGCGGGCACACTACCGCCTAGTCTCCTGGGCCTCACGATGTCACAGGTGTGCCTACGTTCCTGGGCCGTCCTATCCAAGCACAACACTCACCCAACACACCATTATCTGCTCCCAGGTCCCGACACTGTGGTTCACCACTCCTCTCCCATCCACCAAATCCCAAAAGCCTTATTCCACGCTAGATTTTTAGCACCGATACATGAGTACGGCAAAACACCCTGCCGCTAGCTCAAACCAGCCTGGGCCAGAAGATCCCGTTCGCAATGGACATCTGACTAACCCTCCTGACACTGGGGCCAAGTCGTCCGACGATGTTGAAGAGAAGAGCTTTTGTACAGCTGTCAGTTCCAATGGCAACGGAATATGGAACACCGAATATGTAAGGGGCCCTCCCCGGATCTCACCCCAATCCACGGCTCCCTCACTACCTGCGATTACGATGGGCGAGCAGCCATGCCTCCCGTTCTCGGAGTACTCGAAATGCGATGCCGTTCTAGAAGAGGAGGGGTTTCAGGAAGTGCAAAGGCAAAGGGCAACACAGTACAAAATCCTCGAACCAAAGCATCTGGTTTGAACAAGCGGCCGTGTTCGGAGACCAAATCCGCAAGCTGCATGGCAAAGTTTCTATGGGGCACGCCCTACAAAGTTTAACTGGATTTCCAGAGAGGCTGCATGACCGAGCAAGGCAGGGTACAGCGTTCTAGCCAAAGGACTCCATACATAACCGGACATTCCTTCTGCATGGCGCCAGGTTGGCGTGCTGCCACGTTGGCTGACCAAGACCAAACCACGCGATCGGGGCAGTACTGGGTACTTGAAACGGTGTGACGCTGACGGTTTTGACGAGGCGTGCGACAAGTACCTAGTACCGAGTGCTTCACTGATGGATCCTCGACTGTCAGCCCTACCGAGATCTACCGCTGCGAGAGACTAGGACAATACGAGGCGATCTTGAATGGAGTACCCTCAGTATGGAGACCACGCGCTCTGCTTATTATCTCTGCAGGATCGTGTGAAGCCGCCGGACTTGTTCCGGTATGTTCTTTGGGATCGTGGAGACCTGCGCTTGACTTAGGTATCACGCTTTCAAGGATCGGTCTCGACAGACGTCTCTGACTGATGTTGACCCCCATGTCTCAGGTAATGTACAGGGTACCTATGAAACGAGATATTACAACTTGTGTGACGGAGCTCTACCAACTTCGCGTGCAATTCGTTGTCAGGGAACGTATTGTATGGTTATCGGGTAAGTTTCCTAAACTCAACATGTAGAACCCAGAGACAAAAAAAAGTCGCGACTTGATGCGCAGCCTTCGTCAACCGGAATTCAGCATTCTCTCTTCCCTCTCTTTTCCTCGTACTCTTCCCACCGCCTTCTTTGGCTTTTCCTCTGATGTTTACCTGCGATGCCTGTCTACGTCGGGCACTTTTCTCTCTTGGAAGCGGCGCCGGTCCGTCACACTTCTCGTCTCCATTGCCTGGACATTCCTTCGAGCACGCGATCAATTCAACGATCGCCTTCTCTCGCAACCATGCCACTCTTGAGTCCCTCAGAAAGGGCCATCACCGCAACGGGCTTTTCAAAGCCTTGAAAGAGGGCCGCCCAAATCCGCCGGTCAAAGCGAAGCCGTCGAGCGCTCGCGCGAAACTCATGGCTAAAGATGCTGAAGCAAGAGAACGTAACTGGTTACAGCGTCTCGAACCCCCTGATCGGGAGGCGTATTTGAAGAAGGCTATGGAAAAGGAGGCCAAATACTTGGTGGATCCTCTCAAACTGGCTCAGGGCATCGTCGAAAAACTCCGGGACCACAATCTGCAGGCTGCCTTGGAATTGGTCCGCGCCAGCGACAGGGTTCATAATGGCAAGGGAGTGGACAATGTCGTCAGTTGGAACCATATCATAGATTGGTTGATGGGTCAAGAGTCTCCTGGTGAGGCATGGAAGGTCTACAACGAGGTATAATTCGACTCCTCATCCCAATCCCGCTTTCCTGACTGACCCGGTTCTTGTCCGCAGATGAAAAAGCGAGGCCATAAACCCGATTCCCACACTTACACCATCATGCTGAGAGGTTATCGCGAGAACGTCAGAAAACCAAATGCCGTTCAGCAGGCATTGAGCGTTTACGACTCCATCTCGGCCGCGAACTCGGCTGTCACTCCGACCACCATCCACACGAATGCTATCATCAGTGTCTGCGCCCGCGCGTATGACATTGATGCTATATGGAGAATCGCTGGGAGGCTCCCCGAACGCGGGCCTGGTGCCCCGGACCATGTAACGTTCACGACGATACTCCAGGGCCTGAACAGCGAGGCCCAAAAACGAGCTATAGATCGAGGAAGCAGAGAGGGGCCGGGCTTCGACCCTCAACCAATCTTCGACCAGGTAATTGATGACGCGCGGAAGTTATGGCTCGACATCACGGGACGATGGAGAAGAGGAGAACTTCACCTAGACGAGGCCTTGGTTTGTGCCATGGGAAGACTGTTGATGCTTTCAAACGACAGGAGTACTCATCTTGATGTTCTCAACCTGGTCCAACAGACCATGAACATAGGCAGAATCCCCGATGCATCAGCTATGGACCCGAGGGACGAGACAGAGGCGCCGGACGAATCGGAAACCACCGCTGAGGAGGATTCTCCATCCTCCCTCGACGCTCCAGCCATGAGAGCAATCCGCTCGAATTTGTCCTCAAAGCATATCAGCACGGTGAACGCTTCTGTGTATGCCAGCCCTGGCAACAATACTCTTTCCATGCTCATGGAAACCACTACCGCCCTCCGAAAGCTAAAACTGGGCAAATACTATTGGGAATTGCTCACATCTCCCGATGGGCCTTATAAGATTGTCCCAGACCATCAGAATATTATGGCTTTCCTGCGCCTGCTTCGAGTTTCCCGCGCAAGTAGAGCGGCCTTGGACCTTCTTCGAGCTCCGAGACCTGACGAGGTACGCGACAAACTTATGGTACGTGGAACATTTGTCATAGCCATGAGCACCTGTCTCCGAGACAAAAAGAATCCGAATGTGTTCGAAACAGCCAGCCGGATCATGGACTTGATGCAAGAGAGCACGCGAGATTTGAGAGATGACTTGAATGGGACTGAAATTGAGCCTCAGGGTCAGAAGCTCAGGTTCTCTCCCAAAGTTCTCCGGATGTATTTGGAAGTTGCTATGGCCACCACGAAAGGAATTGGCGCGGGTCCGCTCGAGAAGGCCCAGAACGGTGACTTGGATTTCGAGCGAGATCCAAGCAAAAGCCATACAATAAGAGCGTTAAGAAGGCTTGGCCCAGATGCGGTCAATGTCAGGCAACTAATCAAATCCCACTTGATTGAGCTCGAACAACAGGCTGCCATGAGAGGACGTACGATCAGAGTCAAGAAACTGCTTGAGAAGCGCCAGATCACGCCTTACAGTGTTACTGAGAACATTGAAGAACTGGTCGAGTTATTGCGGACCATGATCAGTGCAATTGACAAGATCATCCTGGTTAATGAACGGTTGGAGGATGACGGAATGGGACCTTTAGATAAAAGCATCTTGAATGAGTGTTGGTTGCAGAAACGAAAGTTGTCGGCCTTTGTTACAAGAATGGCCAATGCGATCGTGGAGCCCAAAGGACCTGGAGAGCTGAGGGCGCGGCGTGTTGACGAAAGGGGTCGCCCGCTCGTGGGCAAAGTGAGTGAGATGCAGGAGGAAGATGCAGGTGCCGGGGCTGAAGACACTCAGACGGCAGCGGACGCGATGACAGACGAGGAATTCGAAGCCAGCATGGACCCCACCAGTCCGCGCGCAAAAGTCATGAACGATATCAAAGTAGCCCAGGCCAAGCAGGCCAAATCAAAGGAAGAAAGAGGCCTCTCACGACGACAGAAATTGGAATTGATCAAAGAAGAGCAAGTCCGCGCGCAGTTCCCCACCAGCGTGTTGAGAGAGCGGCAGAGCGGGCGGATGCGAAAGAAGGAGACTGCGTGGGCGGGATTGATGCCGAGAAGGGGAACGAGTGCGGTGGTGACTCCTGCAAAGGCGCCCATGTGGAAGACGAGGCAATTGGAAATCAAGGAGATGAGGAGACAGAAAAGAGAGGCCAAAGAAAAAGAGAAGCACGCGAGAAGGGAGAAGAGAGAGGCAGAGGAAAAGGAGAAGCACGCGAGGAGGAAGGAGAGGGAGACGTATCGAGGGTGGGGAGGTGGGTTTGAAGAGATGTTGAAACAAGAGGGCAAGGCTGGCAGGGCCGGGATAGTGGAGTTGGGACCTTGACGTGTGTTGTTTCGCTGTAGGTATCGAGGCATATACATATGTACGATAGATACAAGCTCGAGTCTGGGAGAGCGTGGGTCATGGCGACATGGCAAGGCGTAAGAAAACCTGGGAAGCGGGCAGAGATGGTTGGTGTTGGTATGGAAACACTCCCTCCCTCCCCATTCATCAAGAGAGGATGTTCTTGTACTTGTACTCATAGTTACTACTAGAAAGAATGGGACGGAATCTCTAAACGGCTCAAGGACGTCGAATAACCTAACTTGACTATTACCTCTTCCCTTTCTCCCTCCCCTCCCAATTTGGACGAGGTGTTTCGCGCCATTAAATAATATACTGAGGACGGTACAAGGAACTGGACACATGACCATCTCATCTCCCCGTCGATGCCACCACGTATCTATCTATCTATCTATCTACCTATCCATCTGTCAGTGACATACATAGATGTAAGGCGCAACACAACATTAATCAACACAATACAACACGTTTCACACCACACCACGGAGTCCTCGTTCTCGTACGGTATACGTGGTACCTTTCCTCATAATCCCTCCTGCCTTCCCTTGCTCTTTTCCCCCTTTGGAAGCTATTCATTTCACTGGGTGGCGTAATAGGTGGCGCAGGTAGGGTAACCAGGGAGTCCGACCGTCGACCCCTGCCTGCTTCCATATATGGGACATCGGGTATGGAAGACCAGGTACATATACTCCGACACCCTTGCTTGTCTTTATCTGCATATGAGTATGTAGTAGGTGGCATGTACGTAGTCGGGGCGTCGGGTATATAAGATGAGGCGGTTGGCAGAGGGAGAGGGAGAGGGAGAGGGAGAGACACAAGGTTCAAGGAGTGTCTTCAGCCGTCGTCTGTCTTTGGTGTCGAGCTTGACATGTCCGAGAGCCATCGGTCCTCCACCTCTCCCGCCCAGATGTCGAGCTTCGCATTGTTCACAAAAGCGAGGTCGCTGGGGTTGGTGACCCCGGTGGTCAGCCACGACGACATGGCTCTCAGGACATCCATCCTGGACCTGCGGCTTGCCATCATCGTCATCTCGACGAACTCGAAGACCTCTTCGACGTGGAAGACGGTGTCAGCAGATTCGCTCCGTCCCTCGACGTCGACGGCATTGTGAGCGATCATCAGGATCAATAGCAGGGAAGGTAGCTTGGCGCCCCCTGCTCTCAGAGCAAGATTCGAAGGGGCACTCATCTCCACGGCAGTGGTCAGACCCTTCAGATAAGTGTTGGTGGTCCGATCGCTGTCTCGGAACGCCCAGAGCGCATTGTTGATTGCAAATAGAGCGCCCAGGTAGAACCTACATTGCGCATTGTCCAGTTCTCCCGCTGGCAGATCGACATAGTCGCACAATGCAGTCTTTGGGGCGAAGGCACGAGCACGCCTACTCAGGCAGCCGGCGTTTGAAGTGTCGGGATCCACGCCAGAATCAGAGTCGGATTCGAAGTCGTCGCGGTGGCCTTGACGCAAAGCTTTGGACGCGTCGGATCTGAGGTTGAAGTTCCAAATCTGGACATCCCGTACCCATTGCCATATCCCTGCCATCTTCTTTTCGAGATCCGAGTGTGTTTTCCACAAACCGTCAACACCGTTCTCCACAAAGACGTTGGCAACCATCAACCCCAGCGGGTACGTGATGTTTCGGACCGACCGTATTCCGCCTCTCAGATCCAGCAGCTTTCTTGCTGCCCTGACGTGATATTGGGCGCTTTTGGTGTTGCCCATTCGATGCTCGCAGCCTCCTGCTATGGCGACTGCCAGGACATAGTCGTCCATGAGCGAGCTCTCCTGTTCGGTAAGCCTAGCATTCATCAACCTGTAGACCAAGGATCTCCGCGCTAGAATCGACAGTTGTCTGTCTCTCTTTGTGGGCTGGAAGCTCACGATCTGCGACTCGATGACGAGCAAGAGCCACATGACCACTATTTCGTTCGTGGCCACCACTCCGACGGTACTATGCGTGGCAATGCTCGCCACAACGCCGGTCGTCGACCCATATATCTGGTCTGGAACCGTAGTCAAGTCTGCATCTGAATTAGTCAAGGCCCAGATAAAAATTGTTTCCAAAACCGGCAAAAATAAAAGTTCACAACATACACAGATGCAGCAAATGCTGATCTGGGACAGAGAGCTCTAGAGCTGAGCGCGCGAAGGGATCTAGAGAGCTTTTGCTGATGTCCTTGGGCAGTTTGACAGGGACAGAGGCCGCTCTAGTCCTCCTCTTTGCGTCCTCAATGTCCTCTTCTTCTCCATTCTCAGTGCTTTGAAGCGATAAAGAGTGCGGATGCTGGTTTCCGCTGGTCTTGCCGTTCAACCGGAACTTTAGAATAGGCAATGCCGAGGTGGAGGCGAGTCGGTGGGTATTTTCGAGCTCGATCTCGATTCTCCCCGACGACGACTGCTGCTCCTCCTCCTTGGGGGGGGACTCAGCGCCTTGAGCATCGGAATTTGGTGAAGATGTTGTGGTAGCGAGGCCGCCGGCTGCAGATCCCCCTCTCACTGACTTTGGAATGCGAGTCCGGCGGGCCGTGGGTTTGGAATCTTTAGACGAGTGGGATACACGAGCGGCATGGGATCGAGCCTCAGATTTCGCAGCTTCCAGAGCTCTCCGATTCGCTGAGGCATCGCCAGCCAGGGCCGAGATGGTGGCGTTGGGGAGGAGGAAGTGAATCTGATATCGATGGCCACTCATGTCATCTTCATCTCAGGCAATCGGCTGAACCGCTTGGTGGCTCGTGATATTAATATATTGATATTCGCCAGGCGACCGGAGGATGGAAAGGGGGATCCTTCGACCGTAGAGAATATTTCTGTTCCTGCTCAAAGATATCTCCAGTGATGCCTAGTGAGCCATTGACGTCTCGCAGTCCGAGGTGCCCAAGTGCTAGCCGCCCTCCGCCCTCCGCCCTCCGCCCTCCGCAGCGCGCCGAAGCTTATCTATCAGCCCTCAGTATGTATGTACATAACAAGCAAGGATTCGAGTACTGTGTACTTGTGGGTTGCATGATACGTTCAGTTGCGGCCGAGTCATCAGGTGACGGATCAGACGTCCAAGTGCTTGTTATGCAGCCCTGGCCAGCGCACATGGCCGATGGCCGATGGCCAAGCGGGTGAAGTGGGAGAAGGGCTCACTAGGCGTCGGAGCGGGCGTTGAGGGGCCTCGAGGGCCCTTGAAGGTCCCAAGAGTCCCTGACTAAGATTAGCGAGAGATCTCATTCTCAGCGTCTTTTCACCCACCAAAAGAAAAATGAGCCCACACATCGCCGCACCCAACACCGCATTCCTCACCATTTACTCGGTTCGACCTCTCTATCCGAGCCTCTCTGAACGCTCGCCATGCGACATGGAGGCTCTCGCCCACTCCGATTCGACTGGTTGAGCACTCGACCTTCGTCCTTGAGTCGTCTCCGCCAATGCTCTTCTCGCCTGCGTCCACAATGCCCATCTCTCGGCAACACCTCCTCTAAAGCTGCCTGGGCGACGCGATCCTGCCGCCACGCGTCGACAAAGCCTGACCAGAGCCCGTCCTCGGTGCCGGCCCGGAAGTGGTCGACTCCCTTGGCCAAGACCATCGCGCAGGCAATTGAGGTAAGGATTCCCGCTGCGTCCGATATCAGGAATTTATTTCCCTTGGCTAACTCACAGCGGGCGGCCTAGGTGACAGGACCTATTTCGATCGCCTCTTACATGCGCCAATGTCTGACAAATCCTGACGGAGGATACTACACCTCAAGTCGTCCATCAGCCGCAGATGCAGACCAATTCGGCACCGCGGGTGACTTCATCACCTCCCCCGAGATATCTCAAGTCTTTGGTGAGCTCGTCGGAATATGGCTCATGACAGAATGGATGGCGCAAGGGCGCCCGACAGAAGGTGTTCAGTTTATTGAGATGGGGCCTGGTCGAGGAACCCTCATGAGCGACCTTCTCCGAACTATCGGGCAGTTCAAGACATTCGCGAGCGCCATATCGGCAGTATGGTTGGTCGAAGCAGGAGAGGGACTACGAACCAAACAAAAAGACCTGCTCTGCGGGGAAAATGCGCTCATGAAGGAGGTTGCCGATCAAACAGGGAAGAATGTCTGGTGGGAAGCCACAAGCACTCAGGGAATACCCGTCAGATGGGTCGAGGACATCGCACTGCTGCCGGCTCAGAACCATCGTGGAGCTGAGGAGATGCCCTTCATCATCGCCCACGAGTTCTTCGATGCTCTCCCTATCCATGCATTCGAGTCCGTCGCTCCCAAACCCGAAGATGCACAACAGGAAGATGCAAAGGGCCAACGACTCACTGAAGCGGGCCAACCAATCGCAAAGCCAATCATGGCAACCAAACTCCCTCAATGGCGAGAACTGCTCGTCGCGCCTACGACGCCGAAACTTACGACGCTCCTCGCCTCCGAGACCGAAAAATCATTGAGCCACAAAGAGCCAGAGCCGGACTTTCAACTCACGCTGGCAAAGGCGAGCACTCCTTCCTCGCTCGTCATCCCTGAACGTCCTCGCTATCGACCCCTCAAAGCACAAGTGTCCTCGCGCGTCGAGATATCACCAGAGAGTGCTCGATATATCCAGGACTTCGCCCGCCGCATCGGTGGAAGCGCGGCCCCTTCCGCAGACTCGAAGGGCAAGCCCAAGCACGCCCGTGACGAAGCCTCGCAACGAAGACCTGCCGGCGCAGCATTAGTGATCGACTACGGGCCCCTGGACACTGTCCCTGTCAACTCTCTCCGCGCAATCCGCAAACACAAGATCATCTCCCCTTTCATCTACGCTGGCGACGCGGACATCAGCGCGGACGTGGACTTCGGAGCCCTGGCAGATGCCGCTCTGGAAGCCAGCCCGGGCGTGGAAGTCCACGGTCCCGTCGAGCAGGGGGCGTGGCTGATGCAGCTAGGGATCAAGGAGAGGGCAGGACGGCTTTTGCGGGAGTTGGACGAGAAAACGAAAGGCGGTGCAGGCGAGGAAGTCGAGGAAGTGGAGAAGAGAAGGAGAGAAGCGGAATTGGGTTGGAGGAGGCTGGTCGAAGGCGGGCCAAAGGGCATGGGCAAGGCGTATAAAGTCATGACAATCGTGCCGGAGAACGGCGGGAGAAGAAGGCCCGTCGGCTTCGGAGGGGGTGTTGTTGGGTGATGTTAATTTTGATAGCCCACTCCCTCCCCTTCAACCCTCCCTCTTGTGCGAACGGAAAAAGGGAAACTTTGTACTCTATCTATGTAAATTGTAACATCAAATGTGCCACTACCACCATCACCACCAGCACCATCACCACCATCAGCACAATACCCAAAAGCATCACCTATATTGTACAGCGTTATTATGGTGGATAATGTTGTTGCTCACTCACTCAATTGGCTCGTTCATTCATTCGCCGTCTCCTTCCTCGTCGGGATGTGCGTCAAAATCCCAGAACCGAACTTCCATCTCGGTCGCGCGGACGAAGATGGCGATGAGCTCCTCGATGCGCGCCGGCGATTGCTTGACGATGGTCGCTTCGATGAGGTCTGGGCGCCGATCAATCATTCGCAATGGGTCAGCCCGTATCAGGTCAGGGTACATTGGGCCAGGCTCGGAAAGGCTAAGCAAGGCCAGAAAAAAAAGAAAAGGGGCAAGATAATGATGATGACAATGATGATGATGATGAGGATGATGATGAGGATAATGATGAGGATGACAATGATGATGATGATGAGGATGATGTAAATAAATAAACAAAAATCGAAAGTGAAGACTCACCTCTCCCCACCCTTACAGCCTCCTGATAATCGTCCGCGACATAATTCTCGACCCACCTCCAGTACCGATTTCCCTGGTCGCCCGTGACGCTCTCGCGCTCCCTGTACAGGCGGGCCGCCGTGACGCCGTAGCCGATCAGACAGGGGGCCAGGGACATCTGTAGGGCCAACCAGTCCTGGCTGGCGCCCACGTCGAGGCAGTAGCGGCTGTAGGCGATGCAGGCAGGCGACTCCTTTGGTCTCTGCTTGGGGTCTTCGAGGCCGGCGCGCGAGATGCCGAACTCAGCGCAGTACGACAGGTGCAGCTCCATCTCGCGCTGGATGTGCAGGATGATGCCGGCGCTCGCCGCAATGGCCGTCATGGTCTGCGACTTGTACGCCGCCAGCGCGTGCGTGCGCGCAAAGTGCGTCAGGTACAGGTAGTCCTGCACCAGGTAGTTCTTGAACAACTTCTCGGGCAGCGTGCCGCGCGCCATGGCCGTCGCGAACGGGTGGTGCGTGAATGCCTCCCAGCTGCGCGCCACGAGCGGGTGCGTGAGCAGGTAAGTGTCGATGAAGTGGCCCTGGGAGAAAGGCAGGATTTGAAGGTTGTGGAAATGGTTTATCGGGCCCGAGCCCTTGCCGATCGAGGCGTCCGCAGTTTTGATACCCGCAGAGACGTAGTGCACCGCGAGACGAGTCGCCGTGGCGAGAGACGGGGTCTGTGCTTTGGATTTCTGGAGGGCCATGTTTGAGGCGATGGCGCTGGCGAGCGAGCAGCCCGTCCCGTGGGTATTTTTGGAAGCCAAGTACTGCGATTCGATGATTGTGTAGTCGTTGCCGTCGTAAAGAACATCCACCGTAAAGGCTTTGTCTTCGTCGCGAGTGGCTTTGACGTAGTTCTTCGTCAGGGGCATGTGGCCTCCCTTGACCAGCACTGCCTGTGGACCGAGTTGGTGGACCATCTTGGCCAGGGCCTTCAGGTCATCAAGGCCCGAGGGAGACTTGTACTGCACATCTGCGTCGCGCAAGAGGAGCGTGGCTTCGGGGATGTTGGGTGTGAGGAGCGTCGACATGGGCAAGAGTCTTTCGCGCAGGTTCTTCACAGCATCGCCGGGAAGCAGCTGTGCGCCGCTGGTGGCGACCATAACCTGTGCGAATCATGAGTCCCAGAAACCTTGGTGGTGGTCGGAGCGGTCATACAGGATCGACAATGATCGGAGAGACCTTGTGGCGTTGAAGCGCTTCCGCAACCACTTTGACCGTTCCCGCCGAGGCGAGCATCCCTTTTCCCATCATGTCTCAGCGCCTCATTTGCAGGGCTTGTTGAGCACTTGGATGGCCTTACCAATCTTGACGGCATCACATCCAATATCCGTCAAACAAGCATCGATCTGCTTCCCCACAAAGGCCGGCGGCGTGATGTGGATGTCCTCGACACCCAAAGTGTTTTGAGCCGTCAAGGCTGTTGTAGCTGTCATCCCATAGCAGCCATGGGCTGCAAGGACCTTCTGGTCTGCCTCGAGCCCGCTAGGACGGAGTCTTGTCAGAGCAGAGCCCAAAGATGGGATGTGAAAAACTCACGCTCCGCCAGAGCTGTCAGAGCCCGCGATGACCAGAACTCGGGGAGTGGCCATCTTGAAGAAGAGGTTTCTATCATCGGACAACAATTACAATAGGGCACAAGAACCTTCAAGAATGAAAATGATCGGGAAGACGAAGGCAGCCTGGTGGACCAGAAGAAGTTGAGGGGTTTGACTCTGAGCGGCATTGAGATTGTCGTTGTCAAGGAGCCAATGAAGAATTGGACCACATCTCCACCATGGCTGAGGTCATTGTACCGTTACGATAGAGATGCTGATGGCTGGCACGGTGTATTCCATGTCAGCAATTAAACTGGATTGGCCGTCTCATCAATTCAACGAGCGAAACCCCACGATCCCATATCCCAATATCACTTCATAATAGCAAAGCTGAACAGCGAGTCCATCTCCACCCACTGCCGCCCACATTTCTTTAGATATCCATCCACCACAGCTTTGATCCCCTCAAATGATTCCTTGTTCGTCTCCGCGAGCACCATTATCCGATCCTTCTTTTCTGCGTATTCCTTTTCTGATCGCGCCTTGTTTTTGGCCTTCTCAACATCAAACAGTGCCGCAAAATACAACAGTTGGTTGTACAACTTCTTCTCCGAGTATTCGTATGACATCCGGCCAAGGCAGCCTTCAGCACGTCCGTTCGGACCTAGGCATCGATGGCCATAGACCGACATTTGTCGGGTTCGGCTGCCGCACGATGGATCGTCACAGACCAGCCAGCCCTCGTAATAGGCAGAGGTCTGCGCTCGAATCTGCGACTCTAGTTGCATGACAATCCTCATCCGTGGAAGGGGCTGCTTGCAATCGGCATTGCTGCACAAGATACCCTCGGGTGTGCATGAATCTGTCGAATCACAAATTCCTTCGAAAATCGTCGCCTGCTTGCACTCTCTACACCTCAGACTGAGTCTCGCGGCGTCTTGGAACCGGATGCTGTCAGGGATTTGCGATTCAAGGGGAAATATTTCGGCACTTCGTTGAGTCCCGCCGGTCGAAGTGTTAATCTGATATTTGCGAACGTCCAGACCTAGGCATTCGGCTAGTCTGACAGAATCGGTGCCGGGGATGGGTGCGCACAGCCTTTCAATAGGCGGGAATATCTGTTTGTGGAGATAGTATTCGACGTCCGGGACAAGGCCAGAATCTGGTTTCTGTACGTCCTGAGGCGTGTAAGATCGCTTCGGCGCAGGTAAGCCTTTTGTCTGTTCGTCTCCCATTGTTACAATGTAAGACATGACATCGTTGACTCGGACAGTTTTGCCTCGACTAATCTCACGAAGAGCGACTTGCACCTGAGGCATCGAATCGGCATTAGGGTATTCTGTTGGGTTCTTGCCAAGTTTCTAGAGAAATTAGCATTGTCCGTTATGAGCTCGGCGGATGCTTACCGTGTAAATGACATATTTCTGAACTGGAATTGCGTTTTCCCTCATCTTGCTCGACAGTTCCCGAAGGTATTCGTGAATCTTCTCGAGGACAACCTCGGAATCTTCGCCTGAAAGGATTTCGTTCAGAAGCTTCTGAGACGCCTCTTTGGACAAGGCGCAGTACTCTCTTCTCTTCATGTCAAGACCTTTGACTTCAAGTTTCTCAACATATTTGCCATCCACCTCGGCCATGTTGATGGCAGCATACTTCTTTTTGGCGTGCAGCAACAAGCGTCGGAAAATGTTGTCGATGTCAATCTCCAACAGCTTGTATCTCTCGTTGACCGAACGTTTGAAGTCTACGCCGACACTCAGAGCCTGCGCAATGTTGTCCGCGTTGGTGTTGATCATAACGGAATCGGTGTCGCCATAGATGACCTGGAGTTGGTTGCTTTCTGCAAGTTCCTTCGTACTTCTCAAGATTTCTCTACCTTTGAAGGTCGTAAGCATGGCCAGTGGCCGTGCATAGAAGCGGGACTGGGTATAGCCGAGACACCCGTACATGGAATTGGCTGTAAGTTTCAACGCCAGTTGTTTGGTATCCCAGAGTGCCTGTTGCTCGGTGGAGGCTCGTTTGTCCTTCATCAGTTTCTTGACTTCCTTCCGGCGTGTGACGAGGTTGGCGATCAGTTTTGGTAAGATACCTTGAGGTTGATCGACGGGGACCTCTGGCACTTTCTCTTCCTTCTCATTTTCGGCGGTAGCCGATCGATCAACAGTTGTGAAGCAGATGTTGTATTCTTGAATGATGCTGGGGTACAAACTGTTGAAGTCCATCACAAGGATGAACTTGTCGTACAGACCTTTCTCAGGCTCAAAGACGAGACCACCTTTGTACTTGTCCTTCTTTTTGGTGTCCGCTCCTTCGTCGTCGTCCTCATTTTCTTGGGTCTGTTTCGCACGACCTTTGCCATACTCTTTATCGGGACAAATGTATTTGTTGCGGTAAAACTCGTGGAGCAGAATATACTCGTTGCGTTCGGCACGTGTGCCGCTCAGGGTACGAGCCCACGAGTTCCCAGCAAGTTCTGTAAGAACTTTAGTCAATGGCAGCATTTGCAATTTCAGGGCAAGTGCCGCGATGAAAAAGGTATCGGCGTGGCAGTGGGTGACATAGTTGAGCAAGCCATCGCGAGTGGTTGCCCATGTCTTTAAGGCTGCTTCGTTGTCCAGTTCGCGGCGACGATTGTCTGGTCCGAGATAAAGATCGCACATCTCGGTCAAGCTCCACTGTTGACATTTGGTCATCAACGACTTGCCCATATCATTTGCCAGGTCGCACATAAGCCGCCCTGCCAATAGCTGTCTCTCGGCGAAGAATGTAGCGCCTCTTCCAAAGGATTTTGGCCACTCTCCTCGTTTCAGTCGACCGATCCGGTGCCACCCTGGAGTTTTCTTCTCTTTCAAGCGACTGAGAAGAATGCTATAGTCGACTTCTTGAAGTTGGTGGCCAATTAAAACATCCGGGTCGACTCTTTCAAAAAGTGCGAGGAACTTGCTAAGGAGAAACTGTTCGGTTTTTTCAAGCATAAATGTATCATCTCGCTTTTGGGTTTCAGCTTCGAAGCCGACCGGGTAAGCAGATCCAGACGGTCGCATCACTGTGAATGTCCTCGACGGCATTTCTTCCGGAGGAGTAGTGTCAGTCAGTGAGACATTCTCGTACACACGAGCACTTGCAACCAAGATTTCCTGCCTATTCTCTTTGACATTCAGTTGGGTCCGGAACGCCAAAGACATTAACGTAAGACGCGGAGCTTCGAGGTTATCAGAGTTGCTCAAGACGGTGATGTTGGCGGGTTTGGTGACAGCACATTCCAGCTTACACCATGAAGCATTATTGACGGCGCTAAAGTCGGCGTCCTCGATGTTCAACCAACATGGCCCCATGATGTTCTTCCACAGCACAAACTGTTCAAACAAAGCCGTGTTCGTGCCGAATACACGGGAGAAGGTCTCTCCCTGCAGGTCCATTGGGAGCGGGTTCTTATCGTAAGGGTAGAGAAGCTTGAGGTATTCGGCTTCCTTCGGGACATCAGGGAGCTCAAATGCGTACTTTCGAGTACATGGCTTGACTTTCCTGGTGGAAACCTTCATTTTGGACATCAACGTGTCGACTTCACCGTACACATCGTCCATCTCGACTTCCTCGCTAGTCTCCTGGCCGTTGACCACCCTATACTTCCTCGGAAGGAAGAAGAGCTTGCGGAGAATGTTATCAACCTTGATGAATGCGCTGCGGTATTGTCCATTCGTCTTGTCCTTGACCTTTCCAAAGAGGCAAAGACTGCCATTGACTTCGGTGTAGTCGAGCCAGAACATACGCAAACTGCCGTCCTCTTCAACAGCATCTTGAGGCTTCATCTTGCCGAAGATTCGAGTTTCTGAAGATGGACTGCTCTGGATATTGAGCTTGCTGGCGATCTTGTTCCATGAAGAGGCGTCCACTTCGTTGATTGGGGGCAACGGCGGAGAAGAGCTCTGGGGCGTTGGAAGTTGTGGCGACTTGATCTTTGGTGGTGGTCTGCTGCCAGTCATGTTAACACTTGTCGATTGAGGTGCTGCATGCCCAACGACTTGTGCAACATCCATGACATCTTCATCTTCGTCCTCCTCCTTGATCTGCACCCTCGTCTTGCGCTCGACAGCCTTGACGACGGGAGACGAAGGAAGAGGGTCGCTCATAACGTTGTCGTCATCAAATGTTGGCAGATGATCGTCCTCTTCTTGTGCAGCTTGTGGGGGAGGAGTGTCGACCAGCTCGGTAGGTTGGGCTTGGGGTTTTGGTCGGGGTTGCTCGCGAGAAGGTGGAGGAGAGAGCACTCTGACCTTGCGTCGGTTTTCGGACTTGACTGGCTTTGCCGTGTACGTGCGTGTAGAGAGAATATTGGCGTCGACTTCTCCGAGGAGATCGGCCATGAAGGCTTCGTCTTCGGCAGTAGTTTGGATCTAGAACAGTCAGAATTAAGCACAAAGGTCTGAACGGAAGGGATTATACCTTTGGCTTGGGAGCAGCAACAGGGCCATTGTTGAAGTATGTGAGGATCTTGTGGTTCGTACGGTCTTCTTTCTCACGATCTTCTTCCCGTTTTCGCTTTGCAGCTTTCCCTTTCAATGGAACCTCCTCGGCATCGTCACTACTGTAATATTGTCGTTCGTTTTGCCATTCTTCTCGACCGTCGTCAGCATATCCTTCCCCGTTGTCGTCAACAACGAAGTCATCTTTGTCAAGACGACTTCGCACGACTTTCTTGTACCCGTCTTCATCAACCTCGTCGTAAATGGCACCCTGGTCTTCGATTTGGTAGGAATCAAGTCGTGTCTTGCCCGCAGCTCGCTGCGCTCTTAGCTGAGCTAGAGCTGAGCGATGCGACATTGGTCACCGGCTCTGAGACTGTGCAGTAATGTTAACAGTAGATCGAGAGGCAGTCGACTGAGTATGTGCATGTAGATGAAGGAGATTCTCGCGGTTTACACTAGGAACGCGTGACATGCAGATGCGGTTCACGTCGAGAAAACGTGCAGCACATAGCGCGTCCATGGAGCGCGTCCATGGAACGCGAAGTAACCCCACGTTCGCGCTTTACTTATGGTAAAACATTGTTCCGCTCTGATAGTATTTTAGTTCAGCCTCCTCACCCCTTGCCATCTGTAGCCTTGCCTGCACCTACCAAGCAGCCGTCTCCTGCTGAGTTGAATCTTTCAGTGCTCGGTGTACATCCTCATACATCACATGTTGCAATGCTATCTATTAAATCAGGCAAACACATCTGTCAAGCGTTTGCTGTCTCGTCCTGTGAGCCTGCCAAGCCTTGTTTGTCGAACCATACAGGAGCGGAAAATGAATGAAAAATCTCTTCACAAACGACTCTGTATTCTGTCTAAGGTACTGTGAAGGACTCAAAATATGCATCGTTCTAGGAGTATCACGAAACACATCCACCACAACACTCGCTGCTTTGAGGAAGTGTATATATTTATATATACGTTTTATGCCGCCAAGTGCTGGAGTATGTGAGCTCACTGTGCGAAATGTCTGAGCCATCCACAGTCATCGGGATAGCGACACTTCACAGACAAGGCGTGAAGGAAATCTCGCCGCTTTACCTACCAGATACAGAGATGGGCTCCTTCAAGTCGTGCTTCTGGGGGTAGTCTTCATGGACTTCTCACTCTCAGACGGCTTTGACGGATCACGATCGCGACATTCTCAAGAGGCACTAACGCACAATATCATCTGCGCCACCGAAAAAGGTGCTCCCAAAGATGGCTCTCGAGCCTGAGATCCAATACATGGTAGTGGAGGTATTGGTGACGGAATTCGAGCGTCTGCGCAACAAAATGTGGTCGCGAGATCAGAAGGAGGAGAGGTAAGTCGCCCCATGGTGTCCGACTGAGATTCAAGCTCACTTCGAAACAGATATTGTGTTCTGTCTACACTCTTGTCATTAAGGATGACATGCAAGAGTTTTGCAAGCGCCAAAATCATCAAGACTGCTGTGTTCAAGGAGATCACACTACAGGCAACGACTCTCAACTTCAACCTCTTGAGACAAACCAGAATCTCGTGCATTGCGCCTTTTGTGAAAAAGATCAACTTCCTGCCGAGTCCATTCACCATCAGTCTCGGACTGACTGCTTTTACTCGAGTCATTCGAACTCTGTCGCAACATGTATACGAAATGCCTCGTCGAAGTCAAAGGCATATTGCACAACACTGGGGTGACATTCCAAGGACGGAAGATCGGATTGGGATTGTGTTCAAAGCTTATCGTCAACAAGCCTACATAGATCAAGACCTTGTGATGAGCGGGGAGCTGCAATGTCTCTGGACCGCAACGCTTCGGAAATTGGAGCATGTGAACGATTTCGAACTGTTTTCGCTCTTCGGCAGACACCCTCTCGATTCAAGTGACGACTTAGAGTCAGGAACGGTACATTGTCAGTCTTGCTACAACGTCAAATGCACCCTGTACGATCGTGCAGGAACGTGTGAAGATCAAATGTTCAGAACAACTATACAGTGTCTTGCGGCTTCCAAAGTACAGATCAAGACCCTCTCACTCCACAGAGCACTGGCAAAGCACTTCCGTGGTTGGCAATATCCTTCATGGGACAAACTGGATCTCACGAAACTCGAAATCTTTAAGTTTCCAGACTTGAACATCGTGGAAGAAAATGACGACGACGACGACTTTGTGGAACTTGATGAAGTTGCGGAAATCGGCTTGAACGAGTGCCTCCGAAAAGTTATGTCTAGCTTGAAGGAACTGAGCATCGACCACTACGTGGAGGTTCCTCGGCTTTTGTGGCCTCGCAGCGCAGGCCTCCACTTTCCACGCCTGCGCTCCCTCAAGCTCGGGGGTGTTGTGCTCACGATCCCATGGTTTGCGGAGCTTGTCAGCCGCTGTGTCGCATTGGAAGAGATCTCGCTGAGAGACTGCCACCCTCAGGATCTTGATGGACGGCGACTGCAGGAGTCGGGCCATGAGGCATGGGAAACGCTGTTCGATGCTATGTGTCGACATCCGAATTTGAAACGTTTCGCGATCCTCGATGAGTGGGATGCTAATTCTCATCTCAATGAGGGTGTGGTTGGCGCCGCATGCAATCCTAATACCGTGGGGCTCGATATGCGTCACACCTTACTCTGGACTGGCATGGAGCGCCTTGGGAACCCAGCAAATCGGGGGCTGTGGGACGATGCTCTGCATTTATTCAACCTTCGACGGCAGAACTGAGGCCAACTGCGAGTGAAAAGGAAGAGAGCTTGTACATAGTGCTTGCGCTGCGTTACGCGGGGGACGGGGGAAAATAAACGGCACTCGCACTTCAATTCGCTTAGCCTTGATAACCCCAACATCATGTACATTAGCTTTTTTTTTTTTTTTTTTCTTTTACATATTTGTGCTCTTGCAATGACCGAGACCTGGGTTGAACTCCAGATCCAAAGTTTCGCAGTGGCATAGTCTGACTTAGAATATACGCCACATACAATGTAGCCAAAGAGGGCTCGATAGCGGTGAAGTGGTCGCTATCTCGAATACCGCTAGCGGTGCAGGTGAGAAGCAGAGCGCCTTTATTTCCAAAGGTAAACGGAATGCTCATTTACCAGCGACGGCTCCCTTCCGTTCAACAGCGACGTCGTGCCACCTATTCAAGTACCGAGTAGGTACACACATAGATAAGTAGTTGTGAGAGGAGAGTAGAGATCACATCCAACAGAGGCAAACTCCAGCCTCGCCCAACATTATCTGCCTGGCCAGGTCCAAGTTCTCCCCGTCTTTCTGCACCCATACAGAGAGCTCCACCGACATTCACACAGCACCACCAGGCCAGGGCACGTCTTTGACCCCCGCGCCCCAATTATCATTCCGCCCATCGACATAGTTGATCTTGAAGCGACTCAAGTCGAGCCCGTCCTGGGGCTGATCGAGTGTGAGGGCGTTGACGGAGAAGAACTCGTGCATGGTCCCAGACCCGGCGGGGTACTCGAACTTGCCCTCGCCGCACACGTGGATGCCGCACGTCCCGCAGAAGTATTTGTGGATGTCCGGGGACCGGATCTGGTAGTCTCGCGCCTCGGAGAGCGACGATGGCGAGAGCAGCGTGAAGTCCTCGCGAGGCAGGCGGATGCCCGTGAAGCCTTGTTTGAGGCAGATGGTGCAGTTGCAGCGGCCAGCGGTGGGCGGGTCGGTCAGGGCCACTGCAGCTTTGTATTTGATGAAGCCGCAGTGGCAGGAGCCCGTGAAGGTCTGTTTGTCTGCTGGGGCTTCGCTCATGATATCCAGAAGCTCGAGAGTCGAACGGTGAATGTTGGTGGGATGGCACTGAGTCAATAGAAGCTCGAGTTGAGGAGACTCGGAGATGCCGATTCAACATGAAGGGCTGCGGAGGTATAAATACAAGTAAGTTACCATGAGTATTCGGTACTCGGTGCGGTGTACATATCAACACATTAAAAATGGCCTAGCGCAAGGCAGAAATGCTCTTAGTCCATTGGTGCCTGAGAACTTGACTCAAAGCAGAATAACGTCACAAGTTAGCTAGTACTCGGACACAGTTCTTCGTATTCAACCTTCCAGTCCCGATACGTACGATCTGGAGTGCTGCGAGGTGCTAGTTTTTGGCGGGTCTGAGGACACAATGCAAATACTATATCGCTTGCCGGTCAATTTGAACCCCTTCTGCCCATAATTTACCGATAAGTCTAGAGCTTGATGGAATTCCTTACCCCATAATAGGAATTGGCGACTGGGAGTTGCGGTTTGGCGCGGTGGAAGGGCCATTAAATTGCCAATATCCTCCCTCTTCCCCCAAGACGACGCCGGCGACGTGGCAATCCAGCGAGAGAAATCTGCGTGACTATCCCAGCGAGCATCATCAAGTTTCAAGGGGACTACAACTTGCCTGGTTTCACCAGATGGCTCAAACGCTCGCGGATATACACAATCGTTAAAGACATGCCTATTGTATTTTCCCGATTCCACGGAAACCTCCCTGCGGAAGCCCGGTTGTGACATGCAGAACACGGACGATAACGGTTCCTCGATCCACACTGATATTGGGCAACTTGGAGCTGTTATGTATGAGGTCACCACTGGTGGCAAGTGCTATGTCGACCTAAGACAGGATGCTTAGCCGAGAGGAAGGTGTAGCCAATCGCTACGGGGTCAGCTTAAGACATTCTATGTTTTGGTCAAGGAGGTGTCAAGGGAGCGCTTCGTGGTATTCAACTATGGCTCAGAAAAAGCTCAGGTTAAAGCCGCCTTTGTTCACCCTCTAGGACTAAACTGCACCTGGCAATTAGGTTTTCCCCCCGCGAGCAACCTAGGTACCGAAAACCAAAGGCCTCAAAGGCCTCAAAGGTCTCGTATCATTGTCTTGCCCCTTTTTCACGTACGTTTGCTGACAACCACTTCGACACCCTCTTGCCGCACCATCCAACCACCTTGAAGTTTCCATTCCAGGTCGGGCCGCGCAAATGAGAACTAGCAGAAGAAAGAACTGTGAGCACGGAACAGAGCCTCCCTGATACGTCTGACAGGCTCGGGATGTGTCATGACCGGCCTGCAGCCGACCTACCTCGTAATGGCGAAGCAGCTGCGGCACCAGCTTCGAAACCTCCAACAGCGCAATGCTCTTGCCTAGGCACCCGCGCTTGCCATGGCCAAACTGTCAAAGTGGTCAGTATTCCGACCTGCATTGCCCGCATACCAGAGCGGGAAACTTCTCACTGCAAGGTTGCCTCGTTCCATAGCGGCAAGTTCTTCCTCTGATGCCTCGAGCCATCGTTCTGGCCTGAAACAGTTGCAGTCCTCACCGTAGACTTCCTTGTTTCGTCTGTAGCTGAAGGGTGAGCCATTGCGACGTTCCTCGAGGGGATCGAACGTGAAACAACAGGAGACTGACTCACGCTGTGACCCATGCGTTCACTCCCACGATTGTGCCTTCGGGAAAGTAATGGCCGCTCAGTGCAATGCCACCCTTTGGGACGTATCGTTCGAGGATGAGGCCGATGGGAGGATGCATACCTCCACAACGCACAATTGTCAGAACTAGTTTCCAGGCACGCCGACGCAAAGCAGGGTGAACTTACGTGTCGCTTCCTTAATGCAGGCTTGCATATAAGACAACTTGCTCGCCTCGCGCCAGGTGACATATTCGCTAAGTCGGCCCTCTTTATCTGCACAATCCAACTCCTCAACAGCCTTTTCCAGCGTCGCCGGGTTCTTGAGAAGATAATAAAAGAGCTATCAAATGAGGATGTCAGTAGCCATAGGTTTATGTGAAGAGACACATTAAAGAGTCGTGCAATCTTACCGAAGTCAGAATCAACGCGGTCGTGTCGGACCCAGCAGCAATATTGTCAAAGTTGTAAAGCATGACCATTCTGTCTGTCACCACCTCTGGGTATTTGGCTTGAGCTTCGAGACATCTTTCAAGAAAGTCGCGCTTTGTCTGACCCTGACTTGCCTTCCAGGCCGCCCTCTCTTTCATTCGATTGAGTGTGAATGTTACGATCGGGTTGGCCGGTCCATATCTCAGCATGAGTGGGTTCTTCAACAGAAAATGGTCCACGATTGGAATCTGTCCAACCTTCAGATATGGAAATGGTCAGTTTTACCCAAGACGTGCTGATAGCAAGCCAAGGGGCACTTACGACTGAAAGATACTGGGTAAAAGATCGAATTCCAGCCATGATGGACTCAACATCGGTCCCCGATTCGAGAAAGCCCAGTTTCTTACTGAAGAGAATCTCACCTCTGTCAACCAGGTCAGTAAGCTCTTTCTGTCTGGCGAGGGCATCACCTACATTACATCAAATGCATAGCGGTGTAGCCACACTTCCAACTTCACTGGCTTCCCAGAAACAACAAGGTGGTCCATTTTTGACATGAATAACTCAGTGGTCGAGTTCACCGCAGGTTCAAAGTCAATCATTGTTGCCATCCTGTATGCATTCACGAGAGGTTTCCTGATCTGTGCATGATAGGCTTCATCCCGACACTCAAAAAGACTCGGCGTGCACTTCCCTTCGTACCACAGTTCGGCGATTGAATAGAACGAGGTCTTCGTGAACTCTGACTTGATTCCGTAAATTGTTGGTATGAGTTTTGGGTCAGATATAGACACAACACGAGGGCCAATCCGCACAAAATTCGAGTGGAGGCTCCGATGCAACTGAATCTGTGTCTCGGTTGGGTCGGAGAGGAGGGTATTGAGAACACGCCAAAGATTCGTGAAACCGGCGAAGAAAGGCCCTGGAATTGAATCAAGATTCCCTCCGTATTTGTTGATCAAGAGTCTGGCAATGAAAAATCCCAGGAGTAGGATTGGCCATGAACGCTGAAACAATTCCTGAATTTGCTCAGGAAGCGCCATCGAGTGAGCGAGAAGCTTCTTGAGCAATCGTTTCGAGGACGTATTGCTTCCTTAGACCCGCACTCCAGTGATACTGTGAGGATATGCTCCCAGTCGAAGCCCGAAGCAGTAGATTGAGAACATGTGAACGCTGCGAAGACTTTGACAATCCCGGATTCCAGAATTGCGCGGTTCGTGAAGGTCAATGCGCTCGAATGCTTGAGAGCTCCAATCAGACTTGATTTGAAGGGCTTCCAAACACAGGACGGAATGCAAGGAGATTCGAGCGTAGCATGTAGCACAGTGGCTGAATATAACCAGCTGCAATAGTTGTCAGACCATCCTGAGGTAGACAGAGCACAGCGTCAAACGCAACCGTTGATGTGGGTGAAGGTGTCACTGTGAAGATCTAACGCGTCGAATCATTGAGTCCACTTGTCCAAGCAGGGAGATGTCAACTCACAGCATTCACGTCTCAAAGCGGAATCTTCCTGAAATTAGGACGCGTCCTTTCCCAACGGTTCCTGCCAGTCAAAGCTTCCGCGAGAAATGTCGTGTCTGCCATCTGCGGACACCGTGCGGATGGTCTTCACATGGCGAGAGGCTGTTCCTATTAGTGACTAGCTACCCCAGAGGACCTTATAGAGGAAACATATGGTGCATTCGGGTGAGGGGCCCCATATTGGGAGTGCCTCGCGACCACCGACATCTCGTATTTGCAGTTAGTGGTATTGGCATGTCCCGCCGCGGATCTGGGAAATGGGATGTGTCCTCAAAAATGAGACCTGGGGAGTCACTGAAGTCTGCGGCCCAACAGCGCGATACATTACCAGTCAAGCCTTATCTCGGAGATGCTGCACGCGTCTCATTAATCGATGGTGAGACGTGCCGAGTGCAGGAGCTCAAACTGCGGTCAATGGTGAATCACCGGCCTTTCGCATAGTACTGTCTGATAAAAGCATTTTGAAGCAGACCGAAGATGATAGAAGTGATTGCTTGAGGAGGTGACCGTTCGTTACCTAGCTCGCTAGGTAGATACAAGGTAGATATTAGTACGGTAACATGTCAGCTTGGGAATGACGTTCTGACATCCCTTTGTCGTGGTGAAACGATCGATTTGACCCCTGTAATATTTTAAGGTCTACGAGGATCAATCTCGGTTTCGTGCTACATACCCGCAGTACGTGCCATACATAAGAAAATGCGGCTTGGTCTACTCTCGCTTCGCATACACACGAACCGAGGCCATCGAGAAAAATATGTTGGGCGTCATTTTCACTGGCTTTTTCTCAGTGATGGAATTGCTGGCATTTGCATTGCATAACTAGCGCCTTTATCCGTTTCGTCCATCCGATCAGTCGGGCCAGGAAGCCCAGGAGCTTTGGCGGCGGACTAAAGCTACTGGACTATTGGCCACACCTCCCACAATCAAGGTGTCCAATCAGTTCATCTGCTTGATGAGAGCGTTGATAGCCTCTTCTCGGTTACCGAGATCACCACCCTCGATGTAATGCTTGAACTTCCTGGCACGGAAACCACCATTGGGGTTGGACAGCTTGAAGGGCCACAAGAAGTTGCTGGCCTGCTTGAAGTTTGGTCCGACAGTGAAGATCTCGTGGATCAAATCCTCCATGCACACGATGCCGTACTTGCCCAAGTTGTCCTCGATAAGTTGGTTGTCAGTGAGAGCAATGCGCTGCTTGTCGATCTTGCCGTATCCACGCTTGTAGATGAGTTCGCGGACAGTCTTGAGGTTGGGATAGCCATAGGCAATATAGGGATTGACGATGGTAAGCATCTCTTGAGTGGCCTTGGTCAATCTGATGAAAACGCCATTGTTGATCTGGAGGAGGCGAAGGAGTTGGAGGATTTTGCGAGGCTTGGGAGCAATCTTGTTGATACTACTAGCGTTAGGACTTGCTTTCGCGGAGGTATGATTGACTCACCCCTTGATTCTGACAACGAAAACTAGCTTGGGTTGCTCATCGACGAAAAAGTTACCCTGTTGTCTGCTCAGGCGCGCGAGTCTGATCTTCTCGCGTTCGGCATCACGATACTCCTTGACGTATGTCTCAGCGCGCTTGAAGATGACACCACGCTTCTCCTTGTTGGCCTGTTCTTGAGATGTTAGCTTGCGTACGGCATCTCAAATGATCGAAACTTGTGAAGGCGGTAAGAATGCTCAGCCCCGAAAGATGGTATAACGAAAGCGACAACATTGACCACGAAGGTCTAGCCGCGCAGTGGTATTTATCATCACCACAGTATTTTTCCAGGTGGCGTTGGACGATGTACTAACCTTCTTTCGCTTCTCAAGTGTCGCAGCACGCTGCTCTCTCGCCTTCTCCTGGCTCTTTCTCTTCTTCAACAAGGTCTCCGGGACGAGGACCTGATCCTGCGTCGGCACAGATCTGTAGGGGAGGAAATCGAATCAGTATAGTCCGCAGGTGAAATGATCGCCGAGTCGGAACTGCAGCTATGGTGCGGCATTCTCAAACTGGTAATTTGGCGTAAACTCGACGAAATAGATTTGATCGGTGAGAAAAGATTGAATGGACGCAAGTAGCAACACATGGCCCTCTCTCATCTCAGACTCTCAACCGACAACGCCCCGATCTGAGATCAGGAAATGTTTTGACTCCACAACAGGCGCTCAGATCTTGCGACCAGACGAGCATGTCGTACGAGCTCAATGTATTTCAAGGAAGAGGCGTTTGCTCCTCTAACCTCAAAGCCCCGACTTTTATTCCCAAGTGGTGATTTCTCACATGTCTTCGGACTAGAGCCATTGGGATGATCGAGCTGGCGCACCGACAGCGAAACCAGCGAAAAGGAAGCGGACCATATCTGAAGATACCAACAGTCAGCATGACAGTAAGGATACTTACGACTTCACAATTGGCTTCGTCATCGTGTTTGGTGATGTTGCTGAACGCTGACGAGGTTGAAGAGTAAGGAACATCGAAAAGTTTCAACTGCGCTTTCGAATAAATTCGACTTGTGGGCAACACATGGGCTAACCAAAAAAGGAAAGGTGGTGCTCCGCGATCTTGGCATAGACACTGGCCTTCCCCTTTCTCCCTGTCGTTAAGGGTTTCCAACAACGTATGCCTATATTAATGTTATTCTATCCTCAAATATAGAAATGTCGACCAGGAGAGGTGTCGGTTTGGGCGCTTTCACCAACAGAAATGCCACCGCTCAATCCTACGCTGCGCACGGCTCAAACTTGAAATCCGCCAACGCAGCCTCGCTCCAGGCGCAACTGGAAGTCTTTCAGTCTCTGCTTCATAACTTCGCACTGGAACATGCGGCGACCATCAAATCAAACCCGACATTCCGAGCCGAATTCGCGCGCATGTGCAATGCCATCGGCGTCGACCCTTTAGCGGGCTCCAACATTAAAGGTAAAAAAGCGGATTCGCTTTGGGCGAAAGTCCTAGGGCACGATGTAAACGACTTTTATTTTTCGGTCGCGGTGAGGGTTGTGGAGTTGTGCCAGGCAACGAGGGCGGAAAATGGCGGCTTGATTGGACTGAAGGAGTGTTGTGAGAGCGTGGCCCGGGGAAAAGCCATTGGTAGTGGTCTGCAAGTGTCAGAAGATGACATTGAGAGGGCTGTTAAGTCACTCGAACCCCTTGGGTCGGGATTCCTTATTCTCACGATTGCGAACAAGCGCTTTATCCGATCGGTGCCAAAGGAATTTAACACTGATCAGTCTACGGTGCTGGAAGTCCTACAACTACTCGGCAGTGTGACAGTGTCCCTCCTGCAGCTCAACCTGGGATGGGAGCGGGCGCGTGCTGAGACTGTCATTCAAGATTTGCTTGCGGATTCTTTGGTCTGGGTGGATCATCAGTGCCCGGAGCCGGAATATTGGTCACCTCAAGGACTACTAGACGAAAGTGATTGACGAGGCTCACCAGAGAAAAGCTAGATGAATGCTTGAGGTGGGTTATGATGACGCTTATTCATGGCGGCTTAAAATCTGGCCATCGAGGGCGCAAGCCTTTTAATTCTTGTATTCATCCTTAAGCACCCAACGGCCGCGTCCTCGGCTTCCCTTCTCCAACCTGGCAATCAACTTCAAAGTCTCCTTGAACTCCAGGGTTGCCTGAGGAGTAGTGCAAAAGCGATTGAAATGATCGATCAGCATCTGAGTGTACACACTTCCACCGTGGGTTGTGAGGTAATCACGGATGAGTTTACCAAAGTCCTTGCCTTGAGGCAAACTTGGTGTTCCATCTCTGGAAACGGAAGCAGTCGAGTCTGCCGACCTAGCAGGACTAGCCGTCCGTGGAGTACCATCTCGGCTTGATGCAAGACTTCCCTGGCGCTGCTGCAAGTTTGCCAGAAGGCTAGACGATTGAAGCCCACCACCTCTGTTTCGGGAATTGGAACTGAATGCTTTCTGAGCCGTTGTCTCTTGGGGACGTCCAGAGATACCAAACTGTCCGGTCCAAGTGGGTGTGCCAATCGGAACAGTCCGAGCGACCTCACCCGCACGTCTCAGTTCTCTGGCCGCTTCGGCAGCCACCTTTCGAGCCTCTTGCTCAATCAAAACCGGATCGGCTGCGACCTTCTTTCCAGCTTTCCCATCAATAATTGCGTCATGCTCAACCGCAGAGTGAATGCCAGCACGGGAAAAGATGCCCTCCATCATCTTATCTTCCGAGTTGGGCCCCTCCTTCTTCGCATGCTGCTCTTCTTCAATTTCTCCAGCGTATTGCTCCATGGATGAGATACCTGGTAGAGCGCCGATCGTCGTATCGCCTTCGACTGGAGCCGATTGCTTCTCCGCATCCATTCCGGCAGTCTTAGGAGCATCAGCTGGCTTAGAAGTATGCTTGACCTGCGCATCTTTAAATAGTATACTGGTTTCGGTCGGCTCTCCGTCATTCCCTAGGCTAAAGAGATCATGCAAATCAGCCAGGTGGAATGTCTGTCGCTGTTTCGGATCCTTGAGGATCTTGTTTGTCAAGAACTGCTTGAATATCTGGCGATGATAAATCTTCTCCTCGATAGTGCCAGCAGTCATCAGACGATAGATGGCCACTTCGCGCTTCTGTCCCAACCGCCAGGCCCTTTCTCGGGCTTGCAGGTCAGTTGAGGGGTTCCAATCAGGGTCGTAGATAATCACTCTATCAGCGCCGGTCAGATTTATCCCAAGCCCGCCGACTTTGGTGGTCAGGAGGAAGACGTGCAGATTCGGGTCGTTGTTGAACTCATCAACCATACTCTGTCGCAATTGAATAGGCGTGTTCCCATCCATACGCCTGTATTTGAAACCCGAAAGTGACTTGACATACTTTTCCAAGATGTCAAGCATGATGCGATGCTGGGCGAAGAGAAGAGTCTTGTGGCCGGTTTCCTTCCATAGTTCTAGGAGTGAACCAACAACTTGCATCTTGCCAGACTTTGACGGGTCGCCATAGTTATATCCTGGTTTGATGGACAATCGCTTGTGATCAGTCAGATCTGGGTGATTGCAAATTTTGCGCAGTATGTCGACTCCATAGAGAACTTGCCGCTTGCCATTCATGATTGCGTCCATCTCCCCTGAGCCAATGAATCTCTTATATTCATCGCGCTGCAAGGGCGTCAGCTTGCAAAAAAGCACTTGCTCACTTTTCTTGGGCAAATCGGAGGCGACATCGATCTTGAATCGCTGCAGCAGGTATGGACTGATGGCATCTTTGAGTGTCTCTGCGCATTTGAAGGCGGTCTGTACCTGCAAGTTCGATGCATTCGCGTATCCACCCTGTCGTATTGGTATCTCGAACTGGTTGCGAAAATTGACCAACGTGCCCAGCCGCATAGGGAAGACGAAGTCAAAGAGAGACCATAACTCGATGAGATTGTTCTGCATGGGCGTCCCGGAGAGAATAATTCGGTTCGGGGTGCGTAGTTCTTTGCAATAGATGGTGATAGCTGTGTTTGGATTTCGAATCTTGTGTCCTTCGTCAAGGATCGCATACTGCCAGTCGACTGGAATCAACAGAGGCGCATAGGTTTGTAGACCAGAGTAGGTTGTCACGAGCACACCTCCTTTCTCCAGGATTGGTCGCAAGATCTTTCGAGCAGCCTTCTGGGCCGCGGTCAACGGTTGTTTTCTCCGAGTCGGATCCCATGCAAGATCAAGCAGCCTTTCTTCTTTGTTGGATTCATTTCGCAAGTTGACCATACCACTGCCAGAGGAGTGCAGAATTGTGACTCGAAAGGGTGGCCACCATCGATGAAATTCGTTGACCCATTGTTTCATAACGGTAGCTGGACAGACTACAATGATAGGCTTATCCAGCTTTTTGCTGTAATGAAGACCAGCCAAAAAGGCAATGATCTGGATTGTCTTGCCCAAGCCCATCTCATCGCCGATGATTCCCCCAACTTGTTGAGTATACAGCTCGTATAGCCATTGTACTCCAGTCTTTTGATAGTCGAACAGGCTGGGGTAGATATCTCCAGGGAGCTTGTAGCCATCATCGAGAAGAGTGTCTGGAATTTCAGGATGCGGGAGATATGCTTCTTCCTCTGCTACAATCTCTGGATTATCCTCCTCGGTTTCAACCTGTTCCTGCTCCTCTTTCGTTGCATCACGCGCTGCATGTGTGCGGGCTTTCCGTCTCCGCAAGGCCCATTTTCGTAGCCTAGACTTGTAGACAGATTCGTTGCCATCGTCGACGCCACGGAAATCCTCAATCTCATCATCGACCTGGGCTGCCGCTTTTCGACTTCTTCTTGGTTGTTTTCCCGATGTACTCGGCATTTCGTCGCCAACTTCTTCTTCGGATTCTGAAAAGAGTTGGTCTTCGATTGAGCCATTGTCATACGATGAGTCTTCGTCCTTTATGGGCGGTTGGTTCATCAGACGTCTCCGCTTTCGCGGTTGATTGGCTTGGATTTCGTCTTCAGCGCTTGAATCAGTAAAACCAGCGGCAAAGCCAGGCTGCCTCAGGTTTCGGTGGGACATGGGTATTCCACCTTCTGCACCGGGCTCGACATCAACGAGTTCAGGCTCTTCCTCGGCGTCAAAAAGGGCTCCCTGCAAAGTCGCCGACGACGCGCCATGGGATGACAGACCAAATTTAGAGAAAGGGGTGATTTTGCCGGTTCTGATCAGATAGTCGCGTTGAGTTTCATTCGGCAAGCGTCCAGTGGCTGATGTCCCGGGTTGACCTGCCATCCCTAGATTGTTTTCCCGTTCCCTAATTCGTTCCTCGATCTCAGCAATATCATTGTCTAGGTCCTGGATTTGGCCTTGCATACGATCGATATCGAGGCGCAAGCGTGCTCGTTGAGTAGTTCCAATGGGTCGAAGCATGTCATCTCGTGTCTTCTTGATCTGATTCTGCAGCTTCTGCTTCTGTGCCTTGGACTTCTCAAGTCGCTGTTGGTCTCGTTGATGGGCTTGCTCGAACAAGAGCCGGTCTGCCTCCCGCCCAATATCTCGTTCCAGGTCATCTTGATCACGCACTTGGGCGTCAAGGTTTCGAAGACGAAGTGCTTCGGCCGACTGGCCGTTGTGCGGGACAGGTGCAGCAGATTCTTCGGCCATGTTATGACCTTCAGTCATTGAATGAGGACTGGTGCCTTGGGTCCCTTCACCGTCCATGATCATAAGAGTCAAAGCGTTGGTAGTGAATTGTGTAGGAAATGGATGTCGTCATGACCATCGGGGGGGATCTCTCTTGCCGTCTGGATTCTTTGAGCGCAATGACTTTTGTGTCAGAATAGCAACACAAAGGAAAGAAAGAAGCGAGTAACGTCGAGATCCAACGGCTATATGCCCTCGAAATGTGAGCGCCACCTGAGGCTGAAAGAGTGGCAATTTGAGATATGGATGATATGAGGAGAATGTTGTAGATAAGCCGACCGAGGGAAGGTCGTTACACGCAATTCTGTCCTGCTAAGAATAGATAAGGTGTAGCGCACTCCCTCCACAGCGACGATACAAGTTCAAAGCCAGAATTCATACGGTCATCGGGCCGTGAAAGCCCTTTTTAACTGATGAGAACAGTACGGGTTCCTAGGCTGCCCAGGCTGCAATATGTCGCTGCACTTCACGACGCCACTGCGCCTCCGTAAATTTTGGGAGGCAATGGAGCTTGTAGCTCTCGGCCTACCTGCCTATCTTGCCCACCCCAAATCCCTGGCGCTGGAAACGATTGAGGACCCCCCGGCGCCCCGGCAAGGTTTCATCTCTGGGCTTGGACAAGCCCCCCAATCATCAAGAATGGGTGCCCAATAATCAGCGGTAATAGCCGCCAGCACCTCAGTCCTCGCTGAAAGCACATCAGCCTTGACCAGCCAGGCCAGGCACTAAACTCGACAACCGACTCTGCTTCTGACAACACCAAACATTCTCCCGACTTCCTCTCTACAACCGATCCCATTCATATTCATGACAATAGACCGAGATACGTGGACAGCTTGTCTCGTCTCACATTAGTCTGTCGCCGTCTCCATTGTCCCTCCACGGCATCTCCGTCTTCACTGTCGGGCCGATCTGATTCCTTGAGTCTTTTGCCAGCTCACCACTTCTAGTTCTTCCACTTCCACTCGAAACGCAGAGAAGAACGCCGTCACTTGCGAAGCAAGCAGTCCTCATCGCCATGGCTTTATGTTGAGCCTCTGACTCTTCCCTACCATGCGTCGACTATCGCCCTGGGTCCACCGGTCTCTCTTGACTGCGCTTACAATCGTCACTCCGCCACTTTGTCTACCCCTCTGAAAGCCAACGGGCCCTCCGATCTCGCTTCGCTTCATACTGAAAAGAGGCCGCTTTTTTTCTGGGTTGAATAATTGCATCAATCGTGTGTGATCGATGCATGCGTCATCAGTGTAATTGCGGCAGGACAAGCTAGATAACTGCGGCCCAGCTTTCAGCCCCATCGCAGCGCGGAACTCTCTTCATATTGTGATTATAGTTGGCCCAACCTACAACTAGTCCTAGCAGCCATGTCCGCCAACAACACGCCTCAGACCCAGTCACATCCCTACGAGCACAATGGTGAGGTCGACGTACCAATGGAAGATGCAGATCCTTATAACCGAACCAAATATCCTCCACGACCGACTCACCAACACCACCTGTCCACCCAGTATATTCCCGAAATCTCGACAGCTGCTCAGCGCTACTCCCCAATGAATGCTCAATCAACGGGCGCAGGCTACGTCTCAAGTCCCAAAACACAGAATCCGTCCTTCTCCTACCTCAATCAGTCCCAGACGACGCGACAGTCTCCCCCTCGCCAAAGCAGCTACAACACAGAGCGGTACACCGAACCCCCGACCCCGACGAGATATCCGTCCGATTATGCATCTACCATCCAGAGCTCCGCGTTGAGCCCCGAGTCATATTATCCTACCTCTGCAACCAACGCGCGACCTGCTCCTCTGTCAAGACAGCAATCACAGCACCAGGGACTAGGTCCGGTGCCAAAATTCAGGAAGGTCAAGACCATGCAAGATCTCAACCCTAAGGTCAACGCCCAGCCACCCTATAGGAGGGCAAATCCGGAAGGCGGTTTTATCAGCCCATTGCAAGCGCTTACCACCCATCTCCCAGCCACGTACAGAATATGTAATCCTAGCTTCAAATACGAGTCATCCCGAAATCCAAGACGGGTTTTGACAAAACCGAGCAAAGGAACAAAGAATGATGGCTACGATAACGACGATAGCGACTACATTCTCTACGTCAACGACATTCTGGGGAGTGAAGAGGCAGGCCACAAGAATCGATACTTGATTCTAGATGTGCTAGGTCAGGGGACTTTTGGCCAAGTGGTCAAGTGCCAAAATCTGAGAACACAAGAAGTTGTTGCGGTCAAGGTCATCAAAAATCGCACGGCTTACTTCAATCAGAGTATGATGGAAGTTTCAGTTCTGGATTTGCTAAACCAGAAACTCGACAAAAATGATGACCATCATCTTCTGCGGCTTAAAGACACGTTCATACATCGCCAACATCTGTGTCTCGTTTTCGAGCTTCTCAGCGTCAACTTATATGAATTGATCAAACAGAATCAATTCCGAGGTCTCAGCACGACACTCGTCCGTGTCTTTGCACAGCAGCTGCTTAACGGGTTGACGTTGTTGAACAAGGCGCGGCTGATCCACTGTGATCTGAAACCGGAGAATATACTCTTGAAAAATCTGGAAAGTCCCATCATCAAAATTATCGACTTCGGGTCTGCCTGCGACGAAAGGCAGACTGTCTACACTTACATACAATCTCGATTTTACAGATCCCCTGAAGTTTTACTGGGGCTTCCTTACTCGTCTGCCATTGACATGTGGTCTCTTGGATGCATTGTCGTGGAGTTATTTCTGGGCCTGCCGTTGTTTCCCGGTTCTTCCGAGTACAACCAAGTCTCTCGAATCGTCGAAATGCTGGGCATGCCGCCGACGTGGATGTTGGAGATGGGAAAGCAATCGGGGGAATTTTTTGAAAAGACGACGGACGAGTTTGGCCGTCGCACGTATCGGCTCAAAAGCATGGAGCAATACTCTCGCGAGCACAACGTTAAAGAGCAACCGAGCAAAAAGTACTTTCAAGCAACAACACTTCCCGAGATCATTCGAAGCTATTCTATGCCTCGAAAGAACATGAAACAAGCTGAAGTGGAAAGAGGTAAGGTCGTAAACAAACTCTCCACGAAGCCATTTACTGACATGCGTAGAAATGAACAACCGCATCGCATTTACCGATTTTGTTCGCGGCTTGCTCACCATCAACCCTTTGGAACGCTGGTCACCTCAGCAAGCGAAGCTACATCCTTTCATCACGCAGCAAAAATTTACCCAGCCGTTTGTCCCTCCGATGAACCTGAAGTCGCCCTCTAGCAAGACCCCTGCTCCTGGTGTACAGCAACAACAACAAGCTGAAGCGCTCAGCAAGCAACGTGCTGCTCAGGCCGCTCAGGCTCAGGCACAAGCTGCACAAGCTGCCCATGCACAAGCACAGGCACAATCCGTAGCTCAGAATGCCTATGCAATGCAGATGACCCCCTATCCACCATCCCAACCTCCACCCATGTACAACAATATGTATCCGGCCCATCCACAAGGCGCCCCTCCACCTTATCCGACTCACTCGTCAAACTATCCTGCACAAATGGGTATGATGCAGCAAACCTCGCAGATGAATCCCAGTCACTACAATCACCAGCAAAGTCTTTACGCGCAGGCCACGCAAAGGGCTGGCCGCCAACGTGCTTCAACCATGGATCAACAGCAGGCTGGTATTCCTGCGGCTATTCAACGAGTTGCGAGCCATCTGGACCCCAATCAACCAATCAGACTTCAGCCGAGTCCAGCGTATTATCCGCCTCCAGCTGATGGCTATGTTGATTCGCCATCAACTGCAAGAAGACGCGGCAGCCGTAACCAGAGAAATCGCGATTTTATCCGGACTCTGGAAGATGGTGCGATGGGCGACAGTTTTATGAATAAGGCGCAGTGGCACTGAGCTCGGCACTGTGAGGAGACGCTGGAATCGTTTCAGGTCTGACTTGATAGTGCAACTCAACAACCCGCAAGGGCCGCCTTACGGATTGGTAGGTGAACTCCGTGGAGGAACACGCTAGAGGCCCTTGACGAATGTGGGCAGGAAAGAAACAGATGTGTGATCCAAGTTGCCACCGGGAAGAACTGGCTCTAGGGATCTGACTGTCAAGGTGAACCTGAAACGAGCCTTGAACTGTGGCGAAGGGAACTGAGTCGTCCCCAGAAATGGCTTGCCGCGTCATGACTGAATGAGCCGTGATGTGGTAGGTACGGCAGGCGGCGGTGGGGGAGCAATGTTCTCAGGATTCCAATCACTCGATCCTCAACTCGTCAGAATGCTTCTGAGGTTTGCAATGATGAATGAGAAATGACGCTGAGCAACGACGTGACCACAGTGTTGACATGAGGGGCTCATGGTGAGTCACTGAATGGAGAATGTTGCAGGTTCCGTACAGGACAATGGAGAGTCAAGGAGGGCAGGTTGGGCTTGTCTTTTGTCATCTACCCAAGTATGCCACCATGGAATTCAATGCAGATTGACAAAGTCTGGGGGTTAGCGAACCATTGCGAAGTACCAGCATGCTCAGTGTCTCAACGGGGACTCGATAGCACGAATTGTTGCGGCGGGAAACTGTTAGGCACCACGATTTGTACATACCCAGTAGGATTTCCTCATGTCATTGCATTCCCGGCAGGGACCAGGTAGACCCCAATCTTCACAAGGGACAAGAAACCTCGGACTCGGGGCCTTTGAAAGTAGTCATTGTGGACACGAGACAGACATCGTGACAATCTCCCTGAGAACTCCCGACGAGCCTGTCTCAACAAAAAGTGGCACAGCCAAATGGCCACCCCACCAAATTTCGCTTTTACCACCAACACGCCATTTCTTCATTATATCGTCGCCCTAGTAATTTCTACTATAGAGAACATAATGGAGAAACATTCTGTTATTATCTAGAACTCTGTTACACCTCCGTCACGTTTCGCTAGACTATCCATTCGCTTGACCATGCTATCAATATACTTGTTTATCGTCTCGATTGAGATGCCGTTCCAAGTATCAATGATGGCCTGAACGAGGGTATCGTCGTCGAAATGATCGATAGCCTTAATCCTTTGCTTCTGCGCTCGCCAGATATTCTCGATTGGCGCAAGATCTAGTGATCCAGAGGCATTGAAGAAGTATTTAAGACCTATTTGCTCCTTAAATCGCCTCACAGACGATTGCTCGCTTACTCCGTGAGCAGAATCTTTATCCTCCTCAAGAATAAATTTATCACCGCGATCAATCCATATTTTGATCTCATTAAGAATCTTGTCGATATAAACAGCGCTAGTCATTTTGCCATTTGACGAATTGGTCTCATAAAAGATCAATTTTGACTTGAAGTTGTAGCCAATTGCCGCCCAAACGTGATATCGCTTTTCATTCTTATATTTCGCTATTTTTTCGTTGAAGCTATGTTGAATACAATCTTGATGATATCGCTCGCCGCGTTTGCGAATAACCTTTAACTTTCGCTGTGGTCCACGACCAAAATGGCATTCATCTGAAAAGCGAACCGTTCGCCATTGATCAAGAGTCCAATGTCGTCGTTGAGAGAGATATTCGCGTCGTTGTTTAATTAAATTCGCGGAAAGAAAAGGTTTTTGACAGGCAATATATTTATAATAGCCTCGATCGCTAAATGCCTTTCGAATCGTATTTTCATAAGGCTTTTTCCTAGTAGGAAAGATCTCAAGCCAAATTTTAAGATAACCACAGACTCGATGATCAAATCCACCTCTTAGTAGCCAATCTTCAATGATATCGAAGTCGTCATCATTGATTAATGGTTTGCGGCCGCGATTCTCAACGTCGTAAACTGAATTATGATGTCTTCGTGGCTCTTGATTAGGCGCAATATAGCGATAGCCTGTTCGCGGTGTAACTCCGCAGAAACGAAAGATATCTTGCTGACTGATATCGAGACCTTTTCGCTGGCAGAAATCTGTCAATGTTCGCACCTTTTCTTTGATTGGCGTAGGCTTATGAGTCTCTTCTGACTGGTCTCTCTCTTCTTTAGTAGGCGTAATTAGACGTGCGGCGACCATTTTTAATATAATGAGTGAAAAAGAAGTAGAAAGGTCGACAGCGAGGTGGTAGAAGGAAAAGTTGGTAGTGGTGGTGGAAGGGGTTGGTTAGGTGACGTAATTGGCTGTGCCACTTTTTGTTGAGACAGGCTCGCCGAGTACTTGGTGACTCAGACTGAGTGGGCGGCCGTTGACGTCAGACTTGGCGAAGTACCGCCGGCACTAATCATGATTAGCGGTGCTAGCACCATAAAACAGCGATCACACCCGGTCATTTCAACTTGCTTGGCAACCTTGGCACTCACTAGAATTTTGAGAATCTTGCCTCAAACTGCGGATGAAACTTGTCGACCCCGAAGTGTTCGACAACTACACCACCTCGGCCTTGCCTGTTGACATTCCGACTCCAAGTCCCATCAAAATGTCGTCGCGATTCTTTCACGGAGGCGACTCCGACAGCGAAAGCAGTTCTTCGGAGGAGGAAGAACTCTACGGTGATCGCGAGGAGGAAGAGGAAGAAGAAGCGGAAGAATCTGAAGAAGAGGAAGAGGAGTCAGAGGAAGAGTCTTCTGAAGATGAAGGCCGTGGTATGGGCGCCAGCCGCTTCTTGAAGCCTTCAGGACCTGGGGGGGAGGAATCCGAAGAGAGCGAAGATGAAGATCGCGAGAGAGTGGTCAAGAGTGCGAAGGACAAGAGGTTTGAAGAATTAGAAAGCACGATCAGATCAATTGAGAATGCGGAAAAGATCAACGATTGGGCTGTCGTTTCTTCAGGTTCGTTATTTTATTCCTGCCGCTTAATGAAACTGTGCTGATCTGTATACTTAGAATTCGACAAAATGAATCGACAAGTCCTCAAGGTCACTCAGCAAGGCGCCACCCCAAAACTCTACATCAAGATGATTGCCGACCTGGAAGACTTGATCAATGAGACGAACGACAAGCAGAAATCCGGTGCGAAGAAGATGAATCCCATCATGGCAAAAGGTTTCAATGCCATGAAACAAAAGATCCGGAAGAACAACAAAGAATATGCTACCGAGATTGAGAAGTATCGAGCCAACAAGGAGGAGTTCATGGAGTCAGAAGAGGAAGAGCCGTTGGAAGTTGAACAGAGGACTCGCAGGAACAAGGTCCAAAGACTTGATGCTATCGAGGCTGCCATAGATGAAGAAGGCTTTGCGACAGTCGGCAGAGGTGGCAAGGCTCTTGTCTACACACCGGAGAGTATTCTGAAGCATCTCCGCACGATCATCGAGTCAAGAGGAAAGAAGAACACGGATCGATCTGAACAAATCCGTATTATGGAGCGACTGTTGGACGTTGCCAACACACCATATCAGCGGATACGCGTCCTCTTGACCCTGATCTCCACCAGATTCGATGTCACGACATCCTCGGTCCAAGCCTACATGTCGCAAGAGTCATGGCGATCTGCAGAGCGCGAATTTTCAACTCTACTGCAAACACTAGAAGATGAACCTCAGTATATGGTGACTGAGGCAGCCGAAGAATGGGAAGATGATGAGAAACAACCGAACCCCGCCGCGGGCGAGATATTCAAGATCCCGGGCAGCATCGTATCCCTTGTCGAGAGACTGGATGACGAATTGACGCGCTCTCTCCAACAGACCGACCCACACACTGCCGAATACATCGAGAGATTGAGCGACGAACAGCTTTTGTACACCGACATTGTTCGAACACTCATTTACATCGAAACCATCAACAAGAAGTTGGAGAAATCTGAGAACAAGCAAGACAATGTCAACCGCACAACCATCCGACGGCTGGAACACATCTACTTCAAACCCACACAGGTCGTGAAAATCCTCGAAGAGAAGACCTGGGGCGCCATTCCGTCATCCCTAAACTCCGAACTCACGCCACGAGGAAAATTCACCGAAGTCGCTGCACTTGTTCAGACGCTGTGCAACCATCTATTCGAGTACAGCGAGGGTATCATTCGTGCACGTGCCATGCTCTGCGAGATCTACTTCCTGGCCTTACAGGACGACTATTACCGCGCCCGTGATCTCGCACTGATGAGCCACTTGACCGAAAATATCTCCTCCTTCGACGTCTCGACACAGATTCTGTTTAACCGTACCCTAGTACAGATCGGTCTCTGCGCCTTCCGTGCAGGCCTCTGCTACGAAGCTCAAGGGGTCTTACAGGAAATCTGCGGTTCGGGCCGACAGAAGGAACTCCTAGCTCAGGGTGTAATCATGCAACGCTACAATACCGTCACGCCGGAGCAAGAACGCCTTGAGCGGCAGCGTCAACTTCCTTTCCACATGCACATCAACCTGGAGCTGCTCGAATGTGTCTACCTGACCTGCAGCATGTTGCTGGAAATCCCATTGCTAGCACAAACCGGTTCATCGCCGGACGTTCGCAAGCGTGTCATCTCCAAGACATTCCGCCGCATGCTCGAATACACGGAGCGGCAGGTCTTCCAGGGCCCTCCGGAAAATACGCGTGACCATGTCATGCAAGCGGCTAAAGCCCTTGCACAAGGCGACTGGAAGAAATGCCAGGAATTGATCGGCAAAATCGGCATTTGGGATCTCCTCGGCCCCGACAACAAGGAAAAGGTCAAGAAGATGCTCGCGGAACAGATCCAGGAGGAAGGCCTTCGGACTTATTTGTTCACCTACGCTCCGTATTACGACACCTTGTCTATCACGACTCTTTCAGGCATGTTCGAGCTAGACTCCAAGAAAATTGCAGCGGTGGTATCCAAAATGATTTCGCACGAGGAACTCGCTGCCGCCCTCGATCAGGTGAACGATGCTATTGTCTTCCGGAAGGGCGTGGAGCTATCGCGCCTACAAAGCCAGGTCATCACGCTGGGCGAAAAGGCGATGGGTATCTTGGAGTCGAATGAGAAGGTGCTCGAGACGAGAACGGCGGGCATGGTAAACGCATTCTCAGCCCAAGGACAGAGAGGGGCAGGCAGGGGTGGAAGAACCGGAGGAAGGACCGGGTTGCCGGGTCTGCCGAGACAGGGACAGCAGGGAGCACGGAGACCTGGGGGGCAGCAATTCAGTGGAGGAGCGTTGGGAGGGGCAATTAAGGCTTGAGAGTGAAGATTCGACCTCGAAGGTCAGAATGGGTCAAAATCGCGCTGGATATGGATGGGGAGGAGATGTGGTCGTGCGGGACAATCTCAGGAGGCTGGTGAGGCCGTTTATTTGTACGGAGTACTTTCGATCCATTTCTGCTGGGAGGCAATTCCAGTGATTATTTGACTGCCGATGACGACGACGGAAAAGATCCCAGCCGACATGGAGGGTGATTAGGTGCATGCAGCCATGCTGCTCGATAACGAACAGCTTCAGCAATCAACTAGGAATGACATGCTGCATATTTGCATCGATAGCCCTGTATGTATGTAACAAGTATGTACGTCCATGTCCGGAACGGGACGGGGAGGGGGGTACAGTAATATGCGCAGAGCCTGAAGATTCGGTATGGTGCCGAGTATGGTCGTCTAACAAGCACCGAGTAGGTTTCAGCATAATGCGGTTCGAACTTTGGGGTGTCTTCTGCTCAAATCCAGCCATTTCCTCAACTACGTATTGTGACCTAGCTTCCTCTGTGCTTCTCCCTGTCTGCCTTTGCTTTGCATCACTAGGCATTCTCAGGAAACATGAGTCTCTCCAATTCAAATTCCGTACCTGCGGGGAGCGGCTCGCCGAAGCCTTCTCCTCTTCCTCACCCTCCAATGTGGAGGATGGTCCTATAGTATAACTATGTACAGGGCACGCGTGGGCGCGGTCGCGCTTTGATGAGCACAGGGTGAAATGCCAAAAGAAAGAAGAAAAACGAAGCAAACCATATATATCTATAAACACATTACGGCGTGTATATGCATGCATAACAACTAAACATTTCTCTATGTCACTTTTGGTTTTTCCGCTAGCCCGGCCGGGTTAAGCCTTGGATCCTCCTTTACGAAAAGGAGTTCGCCTCTGTAGATTTTTTGCAAGGTGTAGGCGGCGTTGACGAAGAAGACGAGTATCAAAAAGATGACCTGGACGACGGTGACGACTTTGAAGAACGCAGAGTCCAGTTCGGTGCCCAGGAGCAGGGTCGCCGTCGTGAGGGTGCCCGTTGGGAAGATGATGGCGTTCCACGTCGGCGCCCAGGTGAGCTCGCCGTTGAGGATACGATGGAACATGGCAATGATGGCGAAGCCCAGGAACACTGCGCCGAGGCCGGTCATCAGGAGTGCTAGGAATATGCAAGTCACCTGGAGCGAACCCGCTGCTGCCTCTGTCAGGAACACGCCCCGGTCGTAACCCCGGAACTGGCTGTGAGTGCTGGCCGCTGACCCCAGCAATTGTAGGGCTGCGGCCGACTGGCCCATGGGACCCACGAGGATGAATAGAGTGGCTGTCATGGGCGGCGCCGGCCAGCCCTTTGCAAGGAGCTGATGAAGCAGATACGTGTACAGAATCATGCCCAGGAAGATTCCCACCCCGAGCGCACACATGGACATGACGATGACTGGAACGGCAAGCCCTGGAGACACACTGTGGGCGAAGGACGAGAAGACGCCGCCGACGGCTGCCAGTGTGGCCACTCCGACGGCGGGGATGATGATGAGGGTCGGGAGCTGGCGATCCAGTATGGTGTGTTGGTGGATCAGATTGGAGAAGACGAAGAACAACATGCCAACGCTCCAGGTGGCGGCGATCCACCACATGACACATGCGACGACGGTGAATGCATGGCCTCCCCATGGCGCCTCACTCACGGTGAGGGTGACGAACGACACCAGCGTCATGAAGGCGATCGACCAGCACGGGAACAGTAATAGGTCCATCACGTTGTCGACGAGTTCCTGGTAGGCTTGCCGCCGGAACACGACAAAGTGTAGAATGTATATGGCCGAGAAGACGACGTAGAGGACCAGGTCAGTGGTAAACGCAATCGTCGAGAGCACATGCAGACCTGGGAACTGGTAGGGCAGCTGATGCAGGAGAGTCCCGATCACGCCGGCATTCATACACCAAGTGAACCTGTTGATGATTTGGTCAGATTGTAAAAGAAACTGGTGGTGTAGCTGGAGGAAGGACGCACCATATTGGGCCGAAGTCTTGGACCAAAGCACGGAAAGCAGATCGATTCACGGGTCCCTTGTAGATCAAGCCGGGGATTTGCTCCTCGTCGTCGGAGTTGGCGCTGGTGGGCTGGGGCTGGTTGCTGTTGCTGTTGCTGTTGCTGTTGCTGTTGCTGTTGCTGTTGCTGTTGCTGTTGCTGTTGCTGTTGCTGTTGCTGTTGCTGTTGCTGTTGC